GCAGTTCTGCCCTCTGCCGCAGCACTCTTGGTAGGGGGCACAGCTCCAAGAGTGTTCATAAACAGATGAGCCTCCCTTCCCCCGTCACCCCAAGACTTCCATGAGCTACAAAATAAGGATCTTCATAAAAATAGCACCATCTGAAAGGAAGGCAGGCTGGCCCAGGCCCCAGCAGTGCCAGGGCCACAGGGTGAGCTTGGATGGCAGCCCCTGACCCCGTCCAGCCCTGTGCTGTCCAGCCCAGCCCTTAGCTCAGCTCAGCCCAGCCCAACCCTTAGCTCAGCCCAGCCCAGCCCTTAGCTCAGCCCAGCCCTTAGCCCAGCCCAGCTCTTAGCCCAGCCCTTAGCCCAGCCCTTAGCTCAGCCCTTAGCTCAGCCCAGCCCTTAGCTCAGCCCTTAGTTCAGCCCAGCCCAGCCCAGCCCTTAGCCTAGCCCTTAGCCCAGCCCTTAGCTCAGCCCAGCCCAGCCCTTAGCCCAGCCCTTAGCTCAGCCCAGCCCTTAGCCCAGCCCAGCCTTTAGGCCTTTCAGCCCTTCTCAGGACTTCACTGGGGGAGTCTGTACCCACCCTCCCAGAGGGGCAGCCCCTGGGTAGCAGCGCTGGCCTCAGTGCGGGCATAGAGGCCAGGCCTGCACAGGACTGCTGGGAGCTGAGGTGCCGGGGAGGAGGAAGGGGCTGGGCTCTGGGGGAAACGGCCCCTCTGTGGGGACCCCAGCCCTGCAGCCTCCTGAGCCCAAGCCTGTGCCTGCCTTTGCCCCTAGGAGATTGTGGACTGGTTCAATGCACTCCGAGCTGCCCGCTTCCACTACCTGCAGGTGGCATTCCCGGGGGCCAGCGACGCAGATGTGAGTTGAGTGGTGGCCCTGCGCTCAGCTCTAGGGCAGACAGCGGTGGGGGGGTGGGGGGGTGGAGGGAGCCCTCCTGCCCTGACTCTGGGATGACATTGAGCCCTAGGGTGGGCCTGGGACTGGCCAAGGGCTCACCCTGAAGTACCTGCAGTTCTCCTGCCTCACTCTAGAACTTAAGCTCAGCCAAAGGGGAAAGGGGGAGGGAAAGGGGTGGCAAGCAGAGGCAGAGGCGTGGACCCTGCAGAGGCTGTGCCAGGCCTGGACCCTGCCCTGGTGGCCCGGGGTGAGGGTAGCACGGAGGGGCACAGCCAGGGAGGGTCTCGGCCTGAGCTGGGCTTCTGAGGCCCCCCGCCCGGTGTGTCCTGCCCCAGCTGGTGCCGAAGCTCTCCAGGAACTACCTGAAGGAAGGCTACATGGAAAAGACGGGGCCCAAGGTGCGTGTGCCGCCCGTGCAGCCTGGGGTGGCCTGGGGTGTGTCATGGTGGGTCTCGGGCTGAAGTGCAGTGACCTTCCCAGCTGCTGCCTCAGTGTTTTAAACTGGTCAGTGTCTGGTGGGTCCTCACGGCCCCTATCTGTGCCTGGTCAGGGTCCCCGCAGACCCGGGCCACTGTCCTAGGCTTTGGTTAGACCCTCTCTGCCTGCTCAGTCCGACCAGCTTCCTCACCCACAGGATTGTGTACCCGCGCGGCCAGGGGCCCACGTCTTGCCACTCCCTGAGGCATGATGTGGGAGGGAAAGGGAAATCCCGGGAGTCTTGGTGGTCCCGGAGCAGAAGTGCAAGTGTGAGGGCTCATAAGTGAGGCCTGAACCCCCATCTGGGGCCCTGGGAGGGCTGGGGGACCTGGAGGAGCAAGAGGGAGGTGCTGTGCGGAGGCTGGAGGGTTGGCGTGTGCAGGGGCCTCGTGTGGCGTGGCCAGCGGCAGGCGTGAGTGAGTGGAGGTGACTGACTCGGGCTGGGAGGACGGGCGTGTGCAGAGGCCTCGTGTGGCATGGCCAGTGGCAGATGTGAATGAGTGGAGGTGACTGACCCGGGCTGGCCTGGACCCTGCCCTCCGGGGTGTGCTGCTGCCGGCTGGATGCAGGCCTGCCTCGGCTGACCTGCCAGTCACAGGCCCTCTCTGACCCACAGCAAACAGAAGGCTTCCGGAAGCGCTGGTTCACCATGGACGACCGCAGGCTCATGTACTTTAAAGATCCCCTGGTAAGGGAGAGCTGTGGCCCGGCCCGGCCAGCACAGGGGGGCAGCTCACTGGCTGGGGCTACTGGATGTGTGACCAGGAGGGTGGGTGGCCTCCCGAGTCCTGGCCTGTGGCCTCCCCTGGCTCTGAGTGAAGCCGGAAGGGAGATGGCCCCGCCTCCAGTGTGGTCTCCACCCACAGGACGCCTTCGCCCGAGGGGAAGTTTTCATCGGCAGCAAGGAGAGTGGCTACACGGTGCTGCACGGGTTCCCGCCGTCCACCCAGGGCCACCACTGGCCGCACGGCATCACCATTGTCACGCCCGACCGCAAGTTTCTGTTTGCCTGCGAGACGGAGTCCGACCAGAGGGAGTGGGTGGCGGCCTTCCAGAAGGCGGTGGACAGGCCCATGCTGCCCCAGGAGTACGCAGGTGAGGGGGGCGGGCGGCCAGCAGCCTGGACGGGCTCCCAGTTCCCTGCGGCCGTGACAGCACGGACCCTGTTCCATTGCAGTGGAGGCACACTTCAAGCATAAACCCTAGCGAGTGCGGTCAGAGGCCCACGGACACTGGACTCACTGTGGCTGACGGAGGGGACCTGTGGATGGGGGGCTGCAGCGTCCTGATGCCACCTGGCCCCACCTGCTCCTCAGGGCAGCCCGGGCGCTGCCAGGTAGGCCCTGAGCCTCTAGGGCCTTGTGCTTCTCTGGAACCTCAAGGCAGGCAGCCCCGGCCCTGACCTCTGACCCCGTCACGCTGCTGCTGACCACACCCAGTCAACCTGCCCCTCCCTGACCCAGGGCCCCCCTTTCCTCCGGGGCCCAGTCTGGCTCCCGAGCTCAGACACGGCCCCCAGGAGCCGCCCACCATGGCTGAGGGAACTTCCAGGCCTCAGCGCAGAGCCCTGTTTGGGGCCGGCATGGTTGGCAGCTGCCGGCCGCTGGGGACTGGGCCCTGCTCGCATGCCGCCCCGCCCTCTCCCCACCTCCACAAGTATTTATTGAGCGCCTGTTGTGTGTCACGGGGGCCGTGGGGGCTGTAGGGGTGTTTGGGTGGATTATCCGCACAGGTCCTCCCTGGGCGGGAGTCGCCCCAGCCCGTGCTCCTGGTTCCCTGGCTAGAGGGGTCACCAGGCTGCTGTCCCACCACATGTGGCCTCTGTGTGCCCAGCACGGTACTCGCTGATAGTGGTGGTGGAACCCTTGGGGATAATGGCCTGGGCCGCGGTGAGGCCACCAGAGGCAGACGTGGCCCTGGGGGGGCCCGGGCACTGTTGCACTTGCTGCTGGTGGCCCAGCCGTGTATTTATTTCTCACCTATCTCCTTCCTGTCAAGGCAGGCCGGGCTCCAGGGCTCCCCTTGTATGGGGCGTGCAGGTCACCTGGGGGGCCCAGCCCTCTCCCAGCCTTGCCTGGCTGAGCTGTGTTCCAGGGGAGCCCTGGACAAGCCCTCATGGGGGGAGGGGGTTCCCGAGGCTGGGCATCCACTGCCCTGTGTCACATCCTGGAATAAAGTGCGGCTCTGGCATGGTTCCAGCTGTGTGTCTGAGGATGGAGTGGGGAGGGGGTTGGGCTGGGAACACATGGCCCTGCTCCCCTGGCTTCAGGAGAATCTTTGTCTGCTCCCAGGGACCTGACAGGGCCTTTGCTCCCTGAGGTTTGGAGGGAGGACGCGGTGTCTGAGCTGGTCACAGCGCCATGTTCCTTGTGCACGGAAGCTGGCCCCCACCCGAGGTGCTCCCCAGCACCTCTTCCCCAGCTGCCTCCATCTGAGGCCTGCCAGGCAGTTCCTGGGCAGAGCCCACAGCCTGAAAGACAAGCCCAGCTCAGCATGAAGGAGAGTGTGGGGGATGCATCCCGGGTAGGGGGGGGTCCCCTGTGCCTGCACCTGCACCTGCCAGCGCTCCCATGCTGGGCCCCTCAACCCTCACACAGAACATGCTGAATCCCACTTCTCCAATGAGGAGCTGGGGCCCCAGGGCAGGGTGGAGGGGTCCCCAAGGGGGCTGTGCTGGTGAGGATGTGGGTGAGATACCCCCACCTGGAGCTGAGACCCCAGGCAAGTGCCCCGCAGCCTCACCAGGCGCCATGGTCCAAACCCCAGCAATGAGAGGACTGGGCCTGGGTCAGGGAGAGCCCTGGGCTGCGCTGGACACACCCCCGGGGGCAACCAGCAGTGCCCACAGCCTCCCCACAGAGTGGAAGTGTGGGCACGTGCTGTGTGAGTGCACGTCCCCATGTGTCCACGTGTGCGCTGAGGACGCTGATGACCGTCACGTTTTAAAGACCACAGAGCAACTTTTTAATGGGGGAAAGCATTTTTCAAACCAGGCAAGACGCACAGGCACAGAAGGTGGTTGCAGCAGGGGTCGCTCGCTGTCCAGCCCTCCCTGTGTGGACACAGCTGTGGGGAAGGGCCTCCCCTCGCGCGCAGCATTCCCAGCAGGCATACGGATGGACCGTGACTCCACCGCGAAGTCCTGAGGCAAGGAGAGGCGGACGCCGCGGTGCAGGCTCAGCACAGGCCACAGGGGGGCCGCCTGCAGGGCTCTGGCCAGCTGTTCCTGCCGTCTCACGGTAAGCCGGAGTGACGCTGCACACATAATCCTGTCACTCCGGATCACACTCGCTATTCACAGCAAGTGCCACACGGCAGGGACGGGTGCCCTGTCAGCACCTAGGGCAGGGTACGGGCTCTCTGCACGGCTGCCTCCCCGGCAGCCCAAGGGCTTTGCTCTTTGAGGCTGCGACACCCAGACCTGGTGGATTTGGTTTTTATGAATTTCAATGAAATTACACAACTTTACTTCTAAAATCACAGCCGAGTGAATGTGAGACTTCCCGATAGCCCTCTGCTCCATCCACGCATGGGCAGTCTGGCCACAGGGCACGCCGCCTCTGGGGGCTCCCAGGCACAGCCCTGAGAGCAGAGGCCCCCACACCCACGGGTGGGCGCCCGAGAAAGGACCAGCGTCGCACAGCCCGGTAGAAAGGGTTTATTTATGCGCAACGGTTCACACAAGCCTTCCTTAAATTCCACTTTACAGGAAATAAAGCTGTGCGTTTCCCCTTCCCATGCACAACTGTGTATCAATCTACAACTGTCCTTTAACTGTGAAAAAATAGAGCGTCTCCCCTTTTGTCATTGTTCTGGTAACATCTGGAATAGCATCTGTGACAGAGAACGGAGCTGCTCACTCCTGGACCGGTTATTTGGTTAAAACCTAAAATGTCAGGTCAAAAAAATCAATCACCCAATACAAATAAATATTGCATTATGAAAGAGATGGGCAGAGTCCCGTGGTATCCCTTTTTAAAGTGGCATTTCCAGCACAGCAGCGTGGCGCTGACGGAGACCGGCAGGGTGCAGCTCCGGGATGCCACATGGGACACAGCTGCAAGTACCCGTGGGCACCGTCCTGCCGAACGCGTCCCTCCACTGAGCCTGAGAACATGGCGCGGGCACGTGCGCTCCGTCTGCGACGGGGACCAGTTCACCGTGACCGCAGAGTGGCCCCGTGCTCAAAAACAGCCGCTCGCATCTGCAGACCACATGGGCCCGGCTGGGCGCTCATGTCCGAGGGCCAGTGCCTGCTTTGGTGACTGCAGCTATGCTGGATGCCAGGCAAGGAGCATGATGTGCCCAGTCCCCGCTGAGGATGGGCCTCCTGTGCTGCCCATCAGCCCTCCCGAAAGGACCCAGAACAAAGGAGTGGGAGAGGGTGACGCCGCGGCAAGGCCTGTGCTTTATTGTGGTCAATCTTGGGGGACGCGGCGGCCAGCAGGGGCGAGGCCCCGCTCCCGGGCCCCAGCAGCACAGCAACCCACAGCCGCGCCACCCTAAGCCGCCGCACAGTAACAGACACGCGCCGGCACGCGGCCACCGCCAGCCTCAGGGCCGGGAGCCCCCAGGCGAGGAGCCACCCAGGACTCGCCTCTGAAACGTCCCTCGAGCCGTCGTCAACCGTGGTGTCTCCACGTGGCCCGGCCGCTTCAGTCCAGCTCGATCGGGCTGCCGTCGCTGGGGCTCTCCTCTCCCTCCTCCTGCTCTGAGGAGCCCATGAGGCTGCTCAGAAGGTTCCCTGGAAAGGAGGACACTGTGGCAGTCAGGCCCGGGCAGCCTCCCACAGGCCCCCAAGCCCCTCCTTCCCACAGACGTCTCGTGAGGTGTCCCAGTGTCCCACGCAACCAGCAAAAGACTCACAATGCTACTGTCTGCGACCCAGGAACCCCAGGACAGGACCCTCTGGAAGACAGGGAGCCGATAGCCATAAAGAGATACTGAAACCACGGAGCAGCCACGGGGGCTCTACAGAGCCGCGCTCCATGTCCACCAACGGCACCAGGGAGCAGGCATGGGGGCCTAAAGAACCACCCTCCACGGAGGGCCCTACAGAGCCAACACAACCTCACGGAAATAACTTTTTTTTTTTTGAGACAGAGTTCGCTCTTGTTACCCAGGCTGGAGTGCAATGGCGTGATTTCGGCTCACTGCAACCTCCGCCTCCCAGGTTCAAGCGACTCTCCTGCCTCAGTCTCCCTAGTAGCTGGAATTACAGGCATGCGCCACCACGATCGACCACGACCATAGAGATGGGGTTTCTCCATGTTGGTCAGGCTGGTCTCGTACTCCCGACCTCAGATGATCCGCCCACCTCGGCCTCCCAAAGTGCTGGGATCACAGGCGAGAGCCACCGCGCCCGGCCAGAAAGACACTTTTCAACAAAGGGAAGCGCGACCGTGGAGCACACGTGCGCCACACCCTGTGGTGACACCCGAATCAACTGGATGCACCAAAGCCTCACGGCTGCTCCCACAGGGGCCAACTGCAGTCACTGTCATCCGATTTTTACCCAATCAACAACTACTCTACATACAAAACCAAAGTCCAAAACGTCTCCTGAAACGAACAAGTGAGACGTTACACCGTGTTCTCTGAATACAAAGACATGGCCGTGGTGGTGTCACCCTCTCTTATCCACGATATCACCCCAATCGCAGGACATGCCCAACGGCGCTTCTGTGGAACAGGAGCCCAGGCTGCGGTTTCAACAGAACAGCCATGCAGAAGTGTCAGGGCGCTCCTGACGGATGTTGGGTGGAGGAGCCTGTGCCGTGGGGCACAGTGAGGGCCAGTGTGTGTGGATGGGCACCCCGGGAGGACGGGGCCTGCCAAGCGATGCAGCTGCATCAGGGCAGACAGCTGTGGAGAGAGGTCACCGCCTCACACCTCCCACTAAACCCAAAGAGATGACACTGGGAAGGCAGGTGCCTCAGTGAGGGGCCTCTCCCGCGGTGGCATGGGACACCACCCACAGACACCTGCCCCGCCGTGACCCCACAGCCACAGCAGCACTGCCTGTCCCAGCATAATGGCCGGCAATGTCCAGGCACACCAGGCTCACAGAGGCCACCTGGCATGGCGCACAGATAAACAGGTGAGCACACAGCCGGCCACGCGACGTGACCCCTGCCAGGAAGTGGGAGAAACCTCAGGGATGGGGAGCTCTGGAGTGGAGACGGGGCTGGGAGGCACCGTGCTAGAATTCTCTACTCTAAAATATAATTTCCTACTAACAAAAAAAAGTTGAGAAACATTTGAAAGAGCAGAAAATCACTTCTACATGAAGGACCGCACTGGCCCTGCCTGGGCAGATGATGACCCCACACCGACCCAGGGCTGCAGTGGGCGTGGCAAGGGCGCCCCAGCTTACCGAGCAGGCCTCCGTAGGAAGACGTCTGCTTGGGCGGGACGCCAAAAAACAGCTGTCCTATGCGGTCGAGGTACTGCAAGGCAGAGGCAGCAGGCTCAGGAGCCGGCAGACCCAGGCCCTGGGGTCCCCTCCTCCCTCCCCAGCCCTGAGCTCTCACCTCGTTGTACATCGGGTCACGCCGGAGGGATGGCTGGTACTGCTCACATAGCACAGTGAACACCGTTAGCTTCCCACTGGGACACAGAGACACAGGGATGTGCTAGGTGAGAACAGGACCACACTCACCTGCACACACCACCGCGCCTACACCTGGCACTCACCAGCACACACCACTCACCTACACCACTCACCTACCTCACCTGCACACACCACACCTAGACCCAACACTCACCCACACACACCACCGCGCCTACACCCCACACCTGCACACCACCGTACCTACACCCAACACACACCCGCACACACCACGCCTACAGCCAACACTCACCTGTACACACTGAGCCTACACCCAACACTTACCTGTACATACCACCGCACCTAGGCCCAACACCCGCACACACTACTGTGCCTAAACCCAACACCTGCACACGTCACACCTACACCACTCACCTGTGCACACCACTCACCTGCACACACCTACACCCATCTGCACACACCACTGCACCTATGCCCAACACACCTGCACACACCACCGCGCCTACACACGTCACCTGCACACACCACGCCTATATACACCACTGCACCTACACCCAACATACACCTGCATACACACCTACACCCAACACTCACTTGCACACACCACTCACCTGCATACACCGCGCCTATGCCACTCACCTGCGCACACTACCGAGCCTACACCCAGCACTCACCCGCACACACCACTCACCTGCCCACACCACTGCGCCTACACACACCTGCCCACACCACTCACCTTAACACCCCCGTACCTATACCCAACACACACTTGCACACCGTGCCTCCACTGCACACCCGCACACACCACTGCACTTACGCCCAGTTTACCCACACACACCGTGCCTATACCCCACTCACCTGCACACACCATTAAAACATACACCACCACGCCTACACCCAGCACTGACCTGTGCACACCACCGCACCTAGGCCCAACACACCTGCACACACCACCGTGCCTACACACAACTCACCTGCGCATCACTCACCTGCACACGTCACACCTACACCACTCACCTGCGCACACCACTCACCTGCACACACACCTACACTCAACACTCACCTGCACACACCACCGTGGCTACACACAACTAACCTGCACATACCACGCCTACACCAAACATGCACCTGCACCCAACACTCATTTGTGCACACTTACCTACACACCCCACTGCACCTACGCCCACCACTCACCTGCACACCCCACCGCACCTACGCCCACCACTCACCTGCACACCACCACGCCTACACTGCACACCTGCACACACCACCGTGCCTACACCCAACTCACCTGTGCACACAATTGCACATACCATGCCTGCACCGAACACCTGTACCCACGACTCACCTGCACACACCACCGCACCTACACACCACTCACCTGCACACCACAGCGCCTACACCCAACTCACCTGCGTACCCAACTGCACACACCACCATGCCTGCACCAAACACCTGTAAACACCACTCACCTGCACAAACCACCGCACCTACTCCCAACACTCACCTGCACACACCACCGCGCCTGCACTGAACACATACCTGCACTCACCACTCACCTGCACTGAACACATACCTGCACTCACCACTCACCTGCACACACCACCGCGCCTGCACCGAACACACACCTGCACACACCACTGTGCCTACACCCAGCACTCACCTGCACACACGCCTACACACCCAACACATCTGCACACACCGTGCCTACACCCAGCACTCACCTGCACACACGCCTACACACCCAACACATCTGCACACACCGTGCCTACACCCAGCACTCACCTGCACACACGCCTACACACCCAACACATCTGCACACACCGTGCCTACACCCAGCACTCACCTGTGCATACCGCCACACCCACACCTAACACCTACAAACACCCAGATGGCTACCCATGCCATGTCTACACTCAATACCTGCACACGTACAGCAACCCATATTGCCACGTCTATACCCAATACACCTGCACGCCCCCACGCAGCTACCCACACGTCTACAGACAACACACCTACACACCACACACCCACCCTCACCATGTCTACACCCAACACATATACTTGCACGTACCCCAACACAACTACCCACACCAGACACCCCATACCTACACACACTCCCCCCTCTACACCTACAACACACCTGCACACATCTACACACACCCACACCACCACATGGACACCCAGCACCTGCACACACACCCCCCACAGCTACCCACACCATATCGACACCCAACTCACCTGCACACAACCCCCCACACCATCACGTCTACACTCACCCACCCCTGTACCCACAAGTCTACACCCAACACTCACCTGCACACACCCACACTACAGCACATACACCCACACAGCTACCCACACTACCATGTCTACACCCAACAGCCCTGCACACACACCCATACCACGTCTACACCCAACACTCATACCCTATACATATACCCACACAGCTACCCCCACCATGGCTACACTTGCACGCACACCCACACAGCTACCCATGCCACGTCAACACACAACACACATATTCACACCCCACCCCCAAGACACCAAGACGCACCCGTCCACAGCCAGCAGCAGGAACCAGATGAAGTTGAGCAGCGGCTCCACAAATGGAGGCCCGTCCTCGATGGACGGGTGCTTCTGAGTGTATGTCGTGAAGACCACCGACGCGCTACTTTTGTTTTTTAAACAGAGAAACCTGGAAATGAGAACATGCTGGTGGTGGAAGGGCTGGAGAACATGGCTTCTGGCCGCACAGGCGCCAGCCTCTGACACGTCCTTCCCAAGCTCGTGTGCCCATGGGTCCCGCGGCCCCCGGCACGGAGGAACCCAGTGCTTCACACGTGTCTCCCCTCACGTGCAGGGCATACTGGGGAAGCCTGAAATTCACAGGTGAAGAGAACGAAGCTTGGGAAGGTCACCAGGCTCTGGAGCTGGGCCCCAGCCTGAGACTCAACTATGCAATGCACTGAGCAAACTCTCCTCTCCTCAGGCTGCCCGCACCAGAACACTCAGTCACGGCACAGCAGCTGGCAGGTGCCACACAGACCCTGGCTCCTGTTCGAGGAGGGCCCACGGGGAGAGCTCAGTGTCCCAGGGGCAGAGCCACTGTCAGCCCAGAGAAAACGTGTACGCAGTGCGGTGCAAAGCCAGGGAGCTCCAGGTTTGACCCAGCTTTTCATCTAAGTCACGGACGCCAGCTCCTGGCAGAGCTCTGCAGTGCGCACCACCGAGGTCAGAGGGTGTCTGTCCCCAGATCCCACGTTAACTCCCCAACGCCCGCCTTGAAATCCACATTGTTCTGTGGGAAGAAATTGATGGACACAAATAACGCTTTCATGAGAAAGGAAGCGGAGGCCAGCGCCTGGAGCAGGAGCGCCTGGAGCTCGGCCTGCAAGATGCCCCAGAGAGCTGGTGGGAGGGGCCGCGGGGTAGATGCTCACCATTCTATGACCTGGGTGTGCATTTCCGCTTTTCCAGATACTGCGGGAAGGCAGAGGCCGAGGCAGGCCTGAGGAGAGCAGAGGCTGCGGGGCCTCCCGGCAGCGGGCAAGAGGCGCAGTGTGGAGGGCGCTCCAGTGCCCGTCGGGAAAGGGGGAGTTTCTAAGATACTTCTTGAAACTGGTTAAACTTATGAATAATCACGGGTGACTCTGGCTGACAAGTGCGCTGTGGATTCTGCCCAGAGTGAACTCAGTTTATCCTGCAGCATGGCTTGGGCAGGGGACAAGGGGACCTGCTCTAAGGCCGCCCGGCCAAAGCAGCGATGGAAGCCAAGACCCAAAGAGCCACAAACACCTACTGTAGCACGGCCTGGGCCACGAACATGTCCACCTCGCTGCGGAAGCCGCGGGACGTAGAGTATTCCACCAGCATGTTGGCACAGCCCTCCCCATCCGCCGAGTGCAGAAAATGATACCGCGACTCACAATAGTTTTGTTCTGCAAAGGAAACACAGAAAAATTTGAATGCATTTCATGAATATAATATAGAACAGGAAAAGTGGAAAGACACTCTATGTTAATTGTAGTCCACCTGCCTGCCCTGGAGAAGAGCCCAGCCAGAGCCCACAGGCAGAGGTACCCGATAGGGACTCAGAGCCGGCCCAAACCTCACACACAGCACCAAATAAACAGATCACCAGGGAACAGTCACTCAGCCATGCAACACCTTCATCCTCCAAGCTCTCAGAGCTGCTTAATCCAATCACATTAACGTGCGTTGTAATGATCAGTTACAGAGTGTTAACATGTGACCCTCCCCACCTACCAGAAGCAACTTATAGGGAGCAATGTAATCAGGGCCTAGGCCAGTGCATCTAGCATGTAATCAACAGTCAAAACCAGCCTGATGTACTCACCACACTGACCCAACGATCAACCCTTGATATCTCAAAGGCACACTCCGCTCCCAGGCCCCGTCCTAACACCCGCTCACACTCACTCCGCTCCCAGGCCCCGTCCTAACACCCGCTCACACTCACTCCGCTCCCAGGCCCCGTCCTAACACCCGCTCACACTCACTCCGCTCCCAGGCCCCGTGCATGCCTTGGGAGCCCAGCCCTTCCCGTGGTGCAGATCTCAGCACTCACCAGGCGCCTGCCTCTCCCACCTAGTGGGCCCTTTCCCAACTGCGTTGCCCAACAGGAGCCTCCAGGGCCCTCCTGCTGCCTCTGTGGCTGCCAGAGTCCTTGTCACCTTGCTTTGTCTCCTGTTGTCTCCCTACATTCCCAAACCTTTACCTATGGGTGTGATTTCATCCCCAGGAGAGAAGCACCAGGGAAGCACATAGCCCAAGTATCGTGGAGCCCCAGCCTCAGGTCCTGTATGGGGCCTGTGCTTAGGACAGCAGAGGCCGTGCGTGGCCACCTTGGCATGGAGCAGGCCTGGGCTCCCCGGGTGAGGTCCATCGAAGTCTCACAGCACTGTCATGCTGTTGGGGACCTGGGCCCGCGCCTACCCCAGTGGGAGGCAGCCAGGGTCCCTCTTCAGAGAATCTCTGCAGATGCAACGAGCACAGCCCTCCCACACGCTCCCTGGACTGCCTCGACCTAACCCCATGGTGGGTGGGGAGATAGACACATACGTCCCTCATGATCGCTTGTGCCTGTCTTAGGAACTGCCATGCAGGTCTCCTGGGCACTGGGCATCACCTGTCCCACGCCACCCACTGCCTGGCTCTCCCCACAGGGCCTGTGCGCAGGTGTGGCAAGGGCGGCCACCCAGTGTTGACGTAGGTGTTCCTGACTCATCCAAAAGACGGGCGACAGCTCCCAGGCAGGGTGTGGGGGCAGCTCCTGACTCCCCAACCTGGCAGTGGGACCCACACAGGCGGCAGCTCGCTATGCAGGGCAGAGGAGGGTCATCTGCGGCCGTGTTCTGTGTGGAGGCGTGCTGGCTCAGGGACAGGTGGAGTACAGGAGGCCTGCTGTAGCCAGAGGCCAGGGAAGGTGGCAGCAGGTATGCTCCAGGGACCAAGGAGGCACCAGCCTGGGCCAGCCCCTTCTGAGGAAGGAGGTGACCACGGGGAAACTGAGGTGAAAGGTGGGCACTGGCTCATCTCCCTGTGGGTGCCCTGCCACTCGGCACACATCCAGGGCCAGGTTCTGCCAGGCTCCTCTGAGAAGAGCCTCCTAATTCTACTCGGATCTGCAACCTTCCCATTCCTGTCGCTTGGGGAGAAGGTCAGGAGGGCCTGCCAGGTGCCTGAGGGTGCTGAACCTCCTGTCACAGCCCAGGCGGAACCTGCATGACCAGGGACAAGGTCGGACGGGCGTGCATTTCGGGGCTGCTGACGTGTGCAGAGCACATGGGCCCTCGTGCAGCTGCCACCGCGCTGGGTGGAGCACAGCTGTGTCTAGGAGGAGCTGTTCAAGCTCAGAGCCCTGGTCTCTGGAGCAAAGGCCTTCAGCCGAGATCCAAGTTCCTAGAGCTTCCAATGCGGGGCTGCCCCTCACCCGCCAAGCCCAGGCACATGCAGACCCGAGCAGGCCTCCCGACAGCAGGAAGGAAACCATCTCACGGTACTGGGGCCACCTGCCACCCCGTTTCCCAGGGAATGCCCTGGGGAGGACACTTCTAAACCCCCATTAGCACCTCATTCAAGTCACTCAACATTTACCCAGCACCACTCCCGCCTCAGAGCTGCAGAACACAGCCAGCCAGACCCCACCACAGGGTGAGTAACCCGCACAGAGGCTCCATCAGCCCCACCACAGGGTGAGTAACCCGCACAGAGGCTCCATCAGCCCCACCACAGGGTGAGTAACCCGCACAGAGGCTTCATCAGCCCCACCACAGGGTGATTAATCCCCGCAAAGGCTTCATCAGAAGATGAGGTCAGTGTAAAAGAGAAAAACAAGGCATGGCATCATCCCAGCGCTGGAAAGAATGTTCCAGAAAGGAGCAGCAGCACGTGTAGGCCCTGTGAGGGTGCGGCTGCCTCCTTGAGGGTCAGAACATCCCACGGGAAGGCCTGGAGAGGCGGTCGCCTGCCCCCCGTCTTGCAGCTTCTTGGGGCAGTGGATCTGATCGGGGGCTTGGCATGGTGCACGGGCCTCCATGGACTGACCCACATGACCACAGGGTGAAACCCCACCCCTGCCCCAGTGGGTGACCCTGATGGACTGGAATGCACAGTGCATATCAACACCGTGAGAGCAGAGAGGGGCCCACGCCCACCCTGGCCCCAGACCTACCTTTCCACAGGGTAAGGGCCAGCAGCTGGTGCAGCCGGGGATGGCCCAGCTTCCCGGAGCCTCCACTGGACCACTTCAGGGCTCTGGACACAAAGGCCACGCGCTCAGGAGAGTTGGGGTCCATCAGACTGAACACTTTAGCTAGATTTTCTGCAAAGAGCACAGACCCTCATCAGAGAAACGCACAGCAACTCCGGTTCTCTGTACCACACACCTTACGGAAGTGGATTTCAATCCACAACTACTTAACAGGCAGAGGAAGCTGGTGGGTGTCCCTGAGTGAGCCATGGGCCACCCTGCTGACCTGCCCACCGCGGTGCCAGCACCATGGGCCCCAGAGCACAGTGAGGAAGGACAGACACCCTGGCCGAGGCAAGGGCTGGGGAAGGTGCCGTGGGGAGTCTGGAGTCCAGGAACACCTGTGGCCGCTCTGGATACCTGGCTCTGGCTCGGGGGCATCTCCCAGAGCAGCAGGGACTAGGAGTGGGACTCGCAGCCAGGCCGCCCACAGAAGGGCTTTGCTGACCTCACGCTCACCCGACAGGACATGCCGACAAGTCAAATCCCTGGATAAAATGGTGCCCCACCCTGAACCAGCGCCCACCTTGCCAGCTGGCGGGGAGGCCACTGTCCATCAGAGCAGGGGAGAGGCCAGGGCCCCGATCATACCCTGCCGACGAGTCACAGCAGGTGCTGCTCAGCCTGCAGTGTGCTCGGGCCAGGGCCAGCCAGGGGGCCTGGCTCACCGGGACCGGGTGAGAACTGCCTCTGCAGCAGGGTGAACCCCAGAGCACAAGACCCCCAAACGCAGACACCAAACACGGCAGACCCCCAAACGCAGACACCAAACACGGCAGACCCCCAAACGCAGACACCAAACACGGCGGACCCCCAAACGCAGACACCAAACACGGCGGACCCCCAAACGCAGACACCAAACACGGCAGACCCCCAAACGCAGACACCAAACACAGCGCACAGGCCCGGGGAGGGGCGCACCGGGGCCACCGTCACAGGGTCCCGGGGTGCAGGGCCGGATGCTCACCCAGCAGCTCATCAGCCACCTCCACTTCTGCCTTCTCCAGGGACTCCAGGACAAGCATGGACAAGTCTGCTGCGCTGTTTTGCTACAAAAGAGAGAAACACACAAAAATCAAGAACAAAGCTCTGACCTGTTCAGGACAGAAAAGACAAGGCTGGGTTTCCAGCAGAAGCCAGAGCGCGGCCAGTGCTGAGGAGTCTATTCTGAGCACCACGTCCCTTGGCAATGCCGCCAAAAAACAGATCTCCTGGCCAAGAATCAAATGAAAATGGACAGGGCCGTTTATACCAAAATGCCCACTCAGCCCCACTGTGCACAAACGCAGCGCAGCGTCTCAGCCCTGAGAGGGGAGCAGCCAAGCCAGGGACTCTGGGCCCCTCCGCCACCCACAGGCCCAGTGGCCAAGGCCAAGGGCAGCCCAAGATATGCCTGTCAGGCCCCTCCCATGTCACTCCCACCTCAACTTGTCTGCCGGGAGCAGGAAGGGACGCAGGAGGAACAAGACGGCGTACCTGGCCATGGCTGAAGAACAGCAGGGCTCCCGAGTACATGAGCTCCCGGGCCTCCGCGTGCTTGCTCTGGGACATGTACCTGCCACAGAGAGGAGACCGTGAGCCGCACCCACACGCTCTCGCCACCACACTCCCCGCTCATCTTCAGGTCAGAAGCTAAAAACAAGGTGCCCAGGAACGGGTGGCATCCTAAAAGCGGTGCTCCCCTTACGCACAGATGCTTTTCACCAAGAACAGGGCAGCAGCTCCTGAGGCCCAGGTGCTGTGTGAAGAGGGTCTGCCCTGGGCGTCATGCTGACCATGAGGGCAGTGTGGGGCACCTCTGGACACTTACTAAGGGCCCATCTGTGTCCAAATATGCCAGGAGCCAGAAAGCAGCCTCACCCTGGAGCAGCTCACTGTTTCAGCAGCTGGGACCAGAAAGGCCACTGGGCGAGGCAGGTGGACAGGGAAGGAGCAGGGGATGTGCACGTGGCCACTTGAGAGCTCAGTGGCCACAGGCAGGGGCCGAAGGATGGCGGACTCCAGGCTGGGGTCCCACCAAGGACAGTAATGGCTGTGACAGCAGCACCTTCTTCCCCTACGGGGCCAGTGTCCCTGCCCTCTGCTCCTCTGCGTGCCGCACTCCTCCCCCCAGGACAGGGAAGGGTCTGGGGTGCACGGTTGCATCATGTCCCCACTCCCAGAGCACCGTCGCCGGGGAAAGCTGGAGCTCCTCGGGCTACACAGGGACAGAGGCAGGGGCGGCGAGAGGCGTGGTGGGGACCAGTGTGTGACAGACGATGAGGAGAAAAGCCGAGATGGCCACACTGCTCTAAGCAGCAGAGCCCCTGCCTGTGAGAACAGCAGGCGTGGCAGGCAGGAGGCAGCCTCTGCTGGGACGCGCTGCACCTCCCAGGCCCAGTGGTGGGGCCCAGCACATGCTATTTCATCAGCTACACATTTTTCTTAACTGCCTTATCAAAAAATACATAACCAGTTAATCAGCTCTGTGTCTGTAAGCCAAATGTCCTTGGACAAAGCCTTGTTTAAAAATAAATCTAGTTAAAGAAAAATATTAAGTAAACGGCAGTGCAGACCGGACTCGGGGGCTCACACCTGTAATGTCAGCCCTTTGGGAGGCTGAGGTGGGAGGATCGCTTGAGCCCATGAGTTTGAGCCTGGCCTGGACAACATAGTGAGATCCTGTCTCTACGAAAAACACAAAAATCGGCTGGGCATGGTGGCATGCACCTGTGGCCCCAGCTACTCAGGAGGCTGAGGTGGGAGGACTGCTTGAGCTTGGGTAGCCGAGGCTGCAGTGAGCCACGATTGCACCACTGCACTGCAGCCTGGATGACAGAGCGAGGCGCCATCCCCCCAAAACAAACAAAAAACAATTGCAGTGCAGGTGGTAAACAGACACAGCAATGTCGGTGAAGGCCGGAATGTGAGCTTGGTGTTGCCAGGATGGGACGGCCAGCTGAGAACGTGAAGGGCTGGCTGCTCAGTTAACCACAGGAAAAGGGTTCCTCTTCAGAAGGCACCACAGCCGGGGATCCCAAACACAGACAGCCTCGCCATGACTAGGGCATCTTGTTAGCCTGGCACACATGCCTTCCCACCCGTCGGGCTGCACAGAGGCAGGGCACCAGGAGGGAAAAGCCTGTACCCAAGAAAGAAAGTGCCCCGCCCCCCGTCAGCCCGCAGGCCTCCGACAGGCCTCAGGTTTTGCTGCGCTCCCTGCACAGTGAAGGTTCTGGAGGGAGACCCACCCCAACACCACAGCAGGAGCCTCAACAGGACCATTGACTCTGTGACCGGCCATCCTGGCTCCAGTCCTGCAGGGCTGTGACTGACTCAGAGGAGGCCGGGAGCCGCCTGGCACAGGGCACTCTGGGAAAACAAGCTTCCAGACACACCCGGCCTCACACTGCCACCGGCAGGGCCATGGGCAGAACCGATGCACTGACCCTGAGCAAGCACCACCCCGGCTTCTGCTTATGCCGATACTACAGCATTCTGGATGCTTCTATCGGAGGTAAAGCAAGTGGTGGCAGCTTAAAAACCAGAAGAAGAAAAAGGACTCCTTGGAAGGCAGTGACCCATATTCCTGCACGAGAAGCCTGCTGTGGGGGGCACTGCCGATGGTCTCGGCCTCCGGCCCGGCTTGGACTGCGCCTTGCGGCCGGCTCCCTTCTTCCCAGGGCAGCTGTGAGCCAGGCGAGGGGAAAAAGAACGGGAGGAGAATTCTGGGCACACAGTGGTCCCCGGCCTGGCTGGGGGTGCCCGTTTCCAGGTCCAGGAATGCCAGTGACGGGCAAACCGTCTAAAGCAGCTCTGAACATGGATGGCTTCCTCTTGTACTGGAGAATTCCGGAAGCTGTGAAGGATTCTGGCTTCCGGGTGACTAAGCCGGGACAGGTACCCTCTCAGGCCCGAGGCCAGGGAGAGTAGGGGGCAGCTGGGCAAGGCTGGGCCTTCTCCCGGCCTGGCTCTGCACGCTGCGCACTGTTGGCCGTGCTGTGTGGACACCCAGACATGCCTTCCAGACAGGGAAACGGCTTCTGCCTACTGACAGAGGCGCTGAGAGCCAGAGAGCGATGGTGCTCTCTGCCGGTCAAAGAATCTGTATCCACAGAGCAAAGTGTCTGGACAAACAATCTAGCTGACTTTGCTCTTCTCTTACAAACACGTTAAAAAGTAGAACACAGGGCCAGGCGCGGTGGCTCAAGCCTGTAATCCCAGCACTTTGGGAGGTCGAGACGGGCGGATCACGAGGTCAGGAGATCGAGACCATCCTGGCTAACACGGTGAAACCCCGTCTCTACTAAAAAAATACAAAAACTAGCCGGACGAGGTGGCGGGTGCCTGTAGTCCCAGCTACTTGGGAGGCTGAGGCAGGAGAATGACATAAACCCGGGAGGCGGAGCTTGCAGTGAGCTGAGATCCGGCCACTGCACTCCAGCCTGGGCGACAGAGCAAGACTCCGTCTCAACCAAAAAAAAAAAAAAAAAGTAGAACACAGAAATGCAAGCATGATAACTAGTGGCAGAAACTGTTGGTGTCAAATGAAGGAAGACCAAGCTCCTGGGGCGAATCCCGCCCTTCGCTCTCGGCAGAGGGAAGCTGGCTCACGCATTCAGCCACCAGGGACACATGGAGGATGAAGAGGAAATACTCAAGACGCACGCAGGTGCCGGGCACAGGCAGCCAGACAGACCTCACAAGGACCCCTGCACCGACTGCCTCGAGCTGAAGCCACCCGCGCCCAGATGCGGGGCTCCTGCAGGGAGTGTGAGGCCGCTCCGCTCTGCCAGGACTCACTCTGAGAAGGGACCTGAGCCGCCAAGCACAGCTCCTTCACACGACGCTCCTCTTGGTCCCTGGGCTACAGCGTGCACCGCACACACTGGACCATTTTCCTTTAAAAAATCTCTTTAGATGACTGAAGAAACAAAAGAAGCTCAGAGGCCGCAATAAAAAAAATCAGGCAAACACATTGCAAGAGCAACCATGTGGCAGGAGGAGCCGGACCCACCACTGTGTGGGCGGCTGCTGCAGGTCACTGCCTCCCAGGCTGCGGTCTCAGCCACATCAAGTTTCTAAAAGTGAATCTACAAATACTGCAGCCAAGGCTGAGGCCCCTCAAGGCCTGGATGGTGGCTCCGAAGAGCACTAATAATCCGTTCGGCCTGGATGCCGACTCCTCAACCCAGCAGGGAAAAGTGTGGAGAAATCAGGTGATGACCATAACCAGTGCCATCTACGGGGCAAGGTCGGCTTCTCTCTAGCATAACCAGGTGAACCAGGTCGGTTTCTCTCTAGCACAACCAGGCAAACCAGGAGCTGCTGCGCGACTTCTGTGGGGCGCACACCCAGCGATACCAAACCTGCTGGGTTCCCAATTCCTTCCTCTCCTTCACCTTAAACTGCTGTGGCTATGAGTTAAAACAGCATCTCTTGGATGGGTGCAGTGGCTCACACCTGTAATCCCGGCACTTTGGGGGGCCGAGGCAGGCAGATCACGAGGTCAGGAGATCGAGACCATCAAGCTAACACAATGAAACCCCGTCTCTACGAAAAATACAAAAAATTAGCCGGGCGTGGTGGCGGGCACCTGTAGTCCCAGCTACTCGGGAGGCTGAGGCAGGAGAACGGCATGAACCCGGGAGGCGGAGCTTGCAGTGAGCCGAGATCGTGCCACTGCACTCCAGCCTGGGTGACAGTGCGAGACTCTGTCTCCAAAAAAAAAAAAAAAAAAGGTATCTCTTGGGAACCCTTGTACCCTGCTGGTGGGAGTGTAAATTAGCTGAACCATCCTGGAAAGCAGTATGGCAATTCTTCAAAGAACTAAAAACAGAACTAACCATTCGACTCGGCAATCCCACTACTGCATATATACCCCGAGAACTCTAAATGGTTCTGCCATAAAGACGCACGCACTCAAATGCTCACTGCAGCACCACTCACAACAGCACAGACGTGGAATCAAGCTGGGGGCCTGTGAGTAGCAGATGGATAAAGAGAATGTGGTCCATATACACCACAGAGTACTATGCAGCCATAAAAAGGAACGAGATCATGCCCTTTGCAGGAACTTGGAAGGAGCCGGAGGCCATTATCCTTCACAAACTAACGCAGGAACAGAATCCCGGATACTACACGTTCTCACTTCGAAGTGAAAGCTGAATGATGAGAACACAGGGACAGAAAGGGGCCAACACACACCGGGGCCTGCCTGAGGGAAGAGGAAGAGACTCAAAAATCATTTTAACAAAACTGTCAGGTACCCATGCTTGATACCCGGTGCTGAAATAATCTGTACCACAAACCCCAGTCACGAGTTTACCTATATAACAAGCCTGCACACAGACCTTAGGCTAAAATAAACATATTAGAATATTTAAAAATAAATCAACAAAGCCTGCACACAAACCCGAGGCTTAAATAAACATTAGAATATTTAAAAATACGTCAACGAACACTGTCTTTTGGCAGATTCACCTGACAGCTGAAGAGATAAATGATTCTGCCAGAGACACACAGGGAACACCATTCAGCAATGAAAGGAACTGAGGACTCTCCCGGAGGAGTCTCCCAGTCACTGTAGTGCGTGAATTCAAGCGGTTAGACAGAAAGCGCACGCTGTGATTCCACGTACATAAAAGTCCAGGAAACGCCACCACACCTAAGTGCAGCCCGCAGATGCATGGGTGCCAGGGGTGCGGAGGGGTGGGAGTGGGGGCGAGGAGGCCTGGTTGCAGAGCCCCACAGAGCCGTGATATAGTCCATGTCTTGACTGGTCATAGTTCACTCATGTCAGACCTCACCAAATTACACGTTTTTCATAAATATTTAAATGTAAACGTGCAATTATATATATTTATGGGCAGAAAAGCATTTTAAAAAATGGCTGGGTGCTATGGCTCCCACCTATAATCTCAGCACTTTGGGAGGCTGAGGCGGGCGGATCACCTGACATCAGGAGTTCAAGACCAGCCTGGCCAACATGGTGAAACTCCATCTCTACAAAAAATACAAAAATTGGCCAGGCGTGGTGGCGGGCGCCTGTAGTCCCAGCTGCTCATGAGGCTGAGGCACAAGCATTGCCTGAACCTGAGAGGCAGAGGCTGCAGTGAGCTGAGATCGCGCCACTGTTCTCCAACCTGAGCAACAGAGTGAGACTCTTGTCTCAAAAAACAAAGACCGTAACTTGGGGAATGTGACTTCTCTGGAAGCAACCCACCCATGGAGTGCTCTGAAGCAGAGCTGGGAATCCACACGGAATTCTACCCTGGAAAGAAAAGGATGCTGTCTCAGCAGGTGACAGTGAGGTGACAGCTGCCGCTGCTGACTCAGTCTTCATTCCTGGCTTGAAAGGCTCCAAGCCAAGGTTTGAGAGGTTCAGTAACGTGTCCCGGGCCCCGTAAGAGGTGGCGTGTCCAGGCTTTCTGAGCTAAGCCGCACCATGCCCCTGCCAGGTGACCCCACAACGTCACACGTGGCCAGAAGGCTTCCCAGTCTAGAGAGCTTAAGGGCACAGAACACTCATCACCTCCCTGGTTTCACTGTGAAAATACTCCCTCGACCAGGCACTCATCACTGAAAACCAAAACTGACAAATCCCCAGTCACCGTAGAAGTGGCTCAAAACAAGGAACACTGTGTTTATTTTGGGGGAGATCCACTTTTGCTGGTTAATCATTGGGCAAATATTTATTTATTTATCGAGACGGAATTTCTCTCGTCACCCAGGCTGGTGTGCAATGGCACGATCTCGGCTAATCGCAACCTCCGCCTCACAGGTTCAAGCGATTCTCCTGCCTCAGCCTCCCGAGTAGCTGGGATTACAGGCGGGCGCCACCACACCCAGCTAATTCTGTATTTTTAGTAAAGACAGGGTTTCTCCATGTTGGCCAGGCTGGTCTTGAACTCCTGACCTCAGATGATCCACCCGCCTCGGCCTCCCAGTGTGTTGGGATTACAGGCGTGAGCCACCACTGCCTGGCAAATTCAGCAAATATTTATATACAAATCTCTAGGCATGGCAGGCATCAGGGTGAATCTTGAACGACATAAAAGTTCCCCATCACACAGCTCTATGGCCCCTCTACCCATTGGAAGGCTCGCGTTCTACGGTTTAGTAACTACTGACACCTTCGCCTTGATCCCTGAAGAACAATCAGGTTGAAGGCACTATCACAACCCGTGCCATCTGGGAGCTGCTACACGTTCAGTGACAAATTCAACCAGCATTAAAACGTATCGCTATAAGCGTCATGCATCAAAGACTTGTTTCTGCCAGAGATAAAATTAGTAGTTTCTTCTAAGGAGGAAAGCGAATCTCTTTCTAAACCAATTAAACAGCTCAGTTTTCAAAAAAGAAAAGCATCTACAATACAACTATAAGACGCAATGTAGCCTGCCTGGTGTGCATTTATAGTATGTCGAGGTTCATAGAAAATTCTGGAAACAAGGCTGTCCTTCAGGTCATGTAAGATGTCTCCTCATAAGCCTACAGTCAGGGACTCACGTCCACTGTCCTCAGCCCGGGCTGTACAAACAACGTGAACACTCTTCAAACAGAGGCCAGGGTCTCATCCCAGCCCGTTCGGGTCAGCTAAGATTGACAACTACTGACAAAAACACTCCTGTTTTCTCATTTCCTGGCATAAATGAGTAAGCAGCGATATGACATCTACTCCCTGCCCGGGGTTGGTAAGCCCACTTTCGCTTGGGCTCACCAGCACCCAGCCCCACTGAGTGCGGACCAATCGCCTATCCAGGCTGCATTCCAGCCAGCCCGGCGCAGGCACAGGCCAGGCACCACAGACCGTGTTTAATTCAAACATAAGCTAGCAAACTACAACCAAAGTGGCACCTCTAGACTTCTCCAGACAACAAGTGGACTTGCTATGGAGAGAAAGTATTTAAAACCCAGGCCCAGCGGAGAATGTTCAGGATATGGAGCTGTGCTGTGTGACGCTCTGACGCGGTTTCTCATCCCCGCGCACACCAAGCGCAAACTCCGATGTGGGAGATGGGTCCCTGAAGGACTCCTCTGGAGGGGTGTCCGTGGGGCGGGAGGCTGTCCAAGGGGGGATTCAGGACACACTGCACTCCATTTTGCTGCAAACTAAAAACTGCTCTAAAAAGCAAAGTCTACTGGCCGGGCGCGGTGGCTCATGCCTGTAATCCCAGCACTTTGGGAGGCCGAGGCGGGCGGATCACGAGGATCACGAGGTCAGGAGTTTCTGCCTGGCCAACATGGTGAAATCCCGTCTCTACTAAAAATACAAATATTAGCTGAGCATGGTGGCGCGCGCCTGTAATTCCACCTACTCGGGAGGCTGAGGCAGGAGAATAGCTTGAACTCAGGAGGTGGAGGATGCAGTGAGCCGAGATCGCACCACTGCACTCCAGCCTGGGAGAGAGAACAGAGCGAGACTCCGTCTCAAAAAAAAAAAAAAAAAGTTTATTAAAAGCAAAAAACCCCTGAATACCAAACCAAATAAAACCAGGCCTAAACTGTATGAAAGCCAGACTGCCCTTAAATACAATATCAAAACATCCACTGTCCTGTGGCAGTTTAGAAGTAAAAGGTACCCCACGGAAATGACTAAATCCTCTGAAATTATCTTTAAAACAGACCCAATCCCTCCAGTAACCGGCCAAACTGTTCCCTGACCTGAGCCGTAAGAGATAACCTGATATGCATAATTTACAGGATGCCACACACAGAACAACTGAAACATTTTTGCAGTAACTATATGATAGCAGAAATATTGTAACAGAGCAGTCCTGAAGAGATCAACCAAGCCCGAAGCAGCCTGGAACTTCCAAGTGGTCACAGTCCCGAGGGGCGTGCAGTTAACCCAGCACAGCCGGCTCTGCCCGCACTCGCCCGCCAGGCTGCACCGGGCCGCGCAGGTGTCACCGCGCCTAGGTCCAGAGGCGGCTGACTCGGTTCGGCAGGCCAGGCGGCGTCAACAGAGAAGCGGTTTCACCCTCAGCCTGGACCCTCGGTGAGAGGAACGCCAGCGACTTCCTGTGGAGCTCGGTGTAGGGCCCGGCTGGAGAACCTGAAGGCCAGGAGGAGGGAGGCAGGGAGGTGGGGGAATGCGGAACAGGTGGAGGCCAGGGGAGAGGTTGGGAAGGCAAGGGGAGGCCCAGAGAGGTGGAGGCAGAGGAAGGGGACGGGGAGGCCGGGCAGGGAGGCCTGAGAAAGGGGGGGAGGGAGAGGTGAAGGCCTGGGAAGACCAAGGGGAGGGGAACAGGTGGAGACCAAGGGAGAGATGGAGGGAGATGGGGGAGGGGCGGTGGAGCCAGAGAACACGGAGGGGGAGGCCGGGCACGGAGGTCTGGGACAGGGAAATATGGGGTGGGGAGCAGGTGAAGGCCTGGGGGAAGGAAGTGGAGTGGGGAAGGCCACGGGAGAGGTGGGGGAGGTCCAGCGGCGGTGGAGGCTAGGAGAGGGAAGCCGAAAAGGACGAGGCTGGGGAGAGAGCGAGCCGGGGTTGGGGGCAGGAGGAAGAGAGAGAAGGGGGGGCCGGGGGATGCCAGGGAAAAAGGCGGGGGGCAGAGGGAGGCCGAGGAGAGAAAGGAGTGGGGCCAGGGGGAGGCCGGGGAGAGAGAGGAAGACGGAGGGAGCAGTGGGAAGCCAGGGAGAGCGAAGCGGGGGGCAGGGAGAGGCCGAGGAGAGAGAGACGAGGGGCGGGGTGGGGCCGGGGAGAGAGACAGAAGAAGGGGGAGGCCAGGGAGAGAGAGGGAAACCAAGCTTGGGGGGGCGGCCGAGGAGAAAGACCGAAGTGCGAGTGTGGGGGCGGCCGAGGAGAGAGAGGAAGGCTGAGGGGCGTAGGGGGGCGGAGGAGGGAACAGGTGGAAGCCAGGGGTAGGGGAAGGCCAGGGAGGAACGCGGCGGAGGGGAGGGAACCCGAGGCGGGAGTCGGAGGCCGAGGGGCCGGGGCGCCGGGCCAGGCAGGGCCAAACCCGGGAGGCGCGGCTCAGACCCTCCGCCGGGCGACCCGCGGCCCCTGGCTCACTCGGCCCCGCGACAGGCACCGGCGCGGGCCAATGGGGGCGCGGGGCGAGGCGCCGCGGCCAATGGGAGGCGGCGGGGGCGGGCGCCGGGCCGCGGCGAGGGCCGGGCGCGGGTACCTGAAGAACAGGGTCCGGTACATCTGGTGCGCCTCGTAGTAGTCGCCCTTCTCGACGCTGGCGCGCAGCTTGCCCTCCACACGCTGGACGCCGCCGCGGTTGCGGCCGCCGTTCCGGGAGTTCTCCTGCTCGGCCATCGCCGCCGCCGCCATCGGGCCGGCGCTCCGCGCAGGGCTGACGCTGTCGCAGGCGCGGTCGGCAGCGCCTCCCGGCTTCCGTCCCGGCGGCCGCCCGACGCCCTTCTACGGTGGCCGCGAGGAGTCGCGCGCAGTCGGGGGCGGGCGCGCCGGCTGGCGGCGCGTGACCTGGGGCGGGGGCTGCAGGCAACACGTGACCCAGGGGCGGGGCCGCAGGCAACGCGTGGCCCGGGGCGGGGCGGGGCGCAGCACGTGACCCGGGGCCGGGACTGGCTCGCGCCACAATGGCCGGTGGGGTGGAACTGCCTGGTGCGGCGCGGCGGGGAGCCCGAGGCTGCGGCGGCGGCTGACCTTGAGCAGGGAGCGTCCTGGGGTGGGGCCCTGCCCACGCGCTTGGTGTTAACAGCAGCCATTGAGCTCTACGTGTAAAACGTTTAAATTAAAAATACGTTTATAGAGCCGAGCGCGGCGGCTCACGCCTGTAATCCCAGTACTTTGGAAGGCCGAGGTGCAGATCAGCTGAGGTCAGGGGTTCCAGACGAGCCTGGCCAACATGGCGAAACCACGTCTCTACTAAAAATACAAAAATGAGCTGGGTGTGGTGGCGCATGCCTGTAATTCCACCTACTTGGGAGGCTGAGGCAGGAGAATTGCTTGAACCCAGGAGGTAGAGGTTGCAGTGAGCCAAGATGGCACCACTGCCCTCCAGCCTGGGTAACAGAGCCAGACTGTGTCTCCAAACAAAAAAACCTTTTAGGATAGCTGAGCTGCCTTCCTCCTCTTCGAAAAGCCACCTGTGGTCCTTCCCTGGCCGTGGCTGGGGACCTGCGGCTGTGCCTGGGTTGACGGACAGTCACTCCCCAGGGGTCGGGCCCTGCTCGAAGGGGGGACTGGGTTGGCCTAGAGCTTCCAGCCCCGTCAGGCGGCGGAAACGGGGTCCAACCCCAGGCAGAGAGTTAGAAACGGGACCCGGGGCCCAGCCCTAGCCATGCAGGTTTGGAAATAGCTTGACTGTAAGCATTGGGGTTTGAAAGCGGTTTGGTCTGAAGACTCCGTTAGACTTCCGACCTTATAGGTTAGCATTGTTTACAATAAAAAAGAGGAAACAAGCCTTTAAGCTGGGCCCTGCTTGAATCACCATGATCCAGCTGTGCATACAATGGACAAAAACAGCTGTTTAAAAAAAAAAAAAAAGGTTCTTACGGGACACACTTGGTAACTGGGGAAAAGCCAGGTGCGAAACAGTGTGGTGTGTGTGCTATCACCTGTGACCTGGTGTCAGCACCTGCCTTTCAGCTACAGAAGCAGCGATGAAAACTGTGTCCTGAGGAAAGCCATCACATCTCCTAACGTTCTGCCCATCAAGCAACTTGTAATTCAGTCCGTTTTCCAAGTGGAAATGGTGCCCTACAGAAAGAGATGCCCAGCACACCTGAGGCCTCAAGGCCTTGGAGGACAGGTTACCATTCAAAGGCTGTGCCACAGAGCTTGCCAACAACAGCCAGCAAACCCAGTCCCTCCCGACATCCCAGGGGCAGAGACAGATAAACTGAGAAAAGAAATACTGTTTATATCCCATGAACTTTTAAAAATTAAAACTCTTTATTTAAACCTCTTAATAGCATCTTACCAATTTGGTGGCAGCAGCAGCAGCACTACCAAAGACAGATATTTTGAAAAGCATTTACAAAAATACATTGCACAAAGTCCTATCTTGCATCTTTAAAAATAAATATTCAAAATATTTCCACCCCAAATCCCAAATCAGTTTTATATAGGAAATTTTGATTTATATATGTAACCTGTAATATATGAAACATCTGTACATTTTATCCGCTTTAACTGCATAGTTCCAATTCTAAGGAGAGTGAAAAAAATGCTGCTTGATGTATGAATAGTTTCGTGGATTTGAGGACTGTTGTGCAATATACAGAAAACCAGTCAGCACCATCGTTTTGTCTTTTTCTGAAAACACAACATTTACGGTACACCGAAAACTGTCTTAACCCAACACAACTTAAATAATTCTTAAGGTAAAACATCTGTAACACTTTAAGTGCCTTGCAGATATCTCATTATTATAAAGTCTGCTCAGTAAAACAGTCTAAATATTAAATAGTAATTATAACCAGAGAGTCTCACGAGAATCACGTGAGAATGGTGACAGCTGTGATAAAAGGCAGATTCCAGCCAGAGCCAGTAAGAAGTGCTGCTGAAGGAAAGAGGATCGTCCTGAAATGTAACGGCTTCACGACCCTGACACACCAGACAGCTCCTCTGATCACCACCAGTGAAGAGAGGAAGGCTCAGGGTATCTCGTGCTCCCTATTCAGCAAAACTCAAAATGACCCCTGAAAACACCCAAGGTGAGATTTCTGGGTTTCTGTTTACTGTGAATCCCAACAGGAAAAGCCTTGCTGAGACCAAAGAACCCCATCTGGGTGTTTGCTTAGATCCAAACCAGCCTCCTTCAAGTCAGACTGACTTCAGCGTACAAGGAGAATGAAACGCTCCCATATTCCACCACGGATATTGGTACAGCGAGTCCAGACTGGAAACCTTTCTCAGAAGTAGAGCAAACAAAGCAGAAAAACCCATTTTAGTCATTTCCCCATCTGGAGACTTAGTACGTACTGGTGCTGAATAAAGGAAAATCCCGGCTTGAAGGAAAGGAGTTTAGAACTCTGAAAATTTGGTGACATTGTTTTTCCCTGAAAGAAATGTGTGTTGGATTTAACAGATGAAATTATCTGCCCTCCAAAAGTCCTTTAGAAGAGCCAGTGCAAGGCTCAAGACCAAAGCGTCAAGAACATGCCAGACTCTCAGCTTCCTCTGCTTTGCTCCTGTTGTCAAGGAAATGCAAATACAAAGAACTTCCCATTAAAAACAAGGAGCGTCTGAGACACGTGTTCAACACGCTTCCCCTGCTGCTGACCCCTCTGCACATGCAGTCAGTGAGCACCCAACAGGTGGTGCCAGGGCGCCCGTCACACGCTCTAGTCCCTGGCCAGCAGCCACGTTTATTGAAGGAGTGGCACTGTCCCATCAGTGTATATGCCCTCGTCCACGAAGGATTCCAGTGTTTCAGGCTGTCCCAGTATATACAAAAATGTACAAAAATAATGAGTACTGTCTTCACTTGACAGGTTCGCCATGAACTCTGAACCGATACAGACAGGTGTACTCAGGATGGCCCCAGTTAGAAAAAATCCGAAGTTCCACTATTTGGAAAACTCTGTCGTCGGGTGTTTTCTGAAATCAAGGAGGAAAAAACAAAACAAAACATGTATTTCGTATTTATAACCCCAAGCCCAATCACTTCCCCAAATATGACGTCTGACAGGAAGCAGCTAAATTGGAAATTAACCTTTTGTTGTTGTTGAGACAGAGTCTTGCCCTGTCACCCAGGCTGGAGTGCAATGGCGCGATCTCAGCCAACCTCTGCCTCCCGGTTTCAAAAGATTCTCCTACCTCAGCCTCCCGAGTAGCTGGGATTACAGGCAAGTGCCACCACGCCCAGCTAATTTTTGTATTTTTAGTAGACATGGGGTTTCACCATGTTGGTCAGTCAGGCTGATCTTGAACTCCTGACCTCGTGATCTACTCGCCCCAGCCTCCCACAGTACTGGGATTACAGGCGTGAACCACCATGCCCAGCCGGAAGTTAACTCTTTAATATGATCCTTGTAAGTAATGTATCACGGGGCATGAAGCACGGGTAAAACTGAGAACTCTATTAGCCACGGAAAGGCTCATTAATGCAGAGCCAGGAAACGCAGGTTAACGTTTTTCAAAGGCTGGTCCTCACGCTGCTTTCCAGTCTGTTGATGCCGGCTGGGCCCTGCTGTCACGAGAGGCTGTGGGACTCAAGAGACCCCAGGGCAGTGCAAGTCCCGGTTCTTACCAGGGCCTGGAACATCTGGAGCGACTCCCCGTCCTGATCATACGTGAACTGTCCCAGAAGCTGCCCTTCTTCCTGATACTCATTTTCTAATCCCTGAAATCGAGACCATACAATCATGAACTAATGGAAAAGTAACACTGAGCAGAGAGGACTGTTCCCTTCCACAGCTAACACTGAGCAAACAGGACCGTTTCCCTCCACTTAGTTAGAGAAAGTCACTCCTCCACGGCACAGTCATGAGGCCTTCCCTGGAAGGAAGGGGTATGTTTTGTTGAGGGCTTCACATAACCCATGACACGTCCTGAGGTCAGCACGATTCCCCCCATTATACACATTAGGAAAACTGTGGCCAAAACAGGACACACTCATGTGTGTCAGAGAAGTGACCCCGCCCGATGCACAGACCATGCTCAGCTGCTGCCCTCTGCACAGTGGAAGCTCTGGAGCACCTGCTGAGCCTGGGGAGACGAGGCCTCACTAGTGGGAGGAGGGGCCACAGAAGACCGACTCCAGCAGGAGAGCAGGCAGAAGGGGGTGCTGGGCCAAGCTGGGGTGTGGGGAGTCAGGGCTCAGTGGGGATAGAGATTCAGACTAGAAGATGGAGCAGCTCTGGAGATGATAGTGGTGATGGCAGCACGACAGTGTGACTGGACTTAACGTCACTGGACTGTGCACTTATTAAAATGGTAAGCTTTATGTTGTATTTTACCAGAGTCAGAAAACTAGCAGAAGATACAGGGGACTATTTGCATATCTGTTTTGAAATGGGAAAGGACTTTCTAGGGAGTTCCAGCTCCCTAGATCTAAAGAAATTCCAGCGAGTGAGTAATTACTGCCTCTGATAATCACCAGTGAAATAAAAATACAGGGCTGGGTGCGGTGGCTCACGCCTGTAATCCCAGCACTTTGAGAGGCTGAGACGAGCGGATCATGAGGTCAGGAGATCGAGACTGTCCTGGCTAACACGGTGAAACCCCGTCTCTACTAAAAATACAAAAAAATTAGCCGGGCGAGGTGGTGGGCACCTGTAGTCCCAGCTACTCGGGAGGCTGAGGCAGGAGAACGGCGTGAACCTGGGAGGCGGAGCTTGCAGTGAGCTGAGATTGCGCCACTGCACTCCAGCCTGGGCAACAGAGTGAGACTCTGTCTCAAAAAAAAAAAAAAAATACAAATAGCTAGGCGTGGTGGCGTGGCCTGTAGTCCCAGCTACTCGGGAGGCTGAGGCAGGAGAATCGCTTGAACCCAGGAGGCAGAGGTTGTGGTGAGTTTTCACGCCACTGCATTTCAGCCTGGGCAACAAGATGAAAGTCCATCTCAAAAAAAAGAAAAAGAAAAAGAAAACGCTAGTAACACAGTGCACTGACTTGGCCGTAAAACATGCTGCTGGCCTCTGAAACCGTGATGCCACTTGTGAGTGTCTTGTCCATGGGGATTATGAAGGTGTAAAGGAGCGGCAGTTACACAGGGAAGCAAAAAAGGGAAAGAAATACTCAGCGAGAGGAGAACCGGCCAGATAAACACGGAGGATTGACGCTACTTGAGGATGGCCATAAAGTCTAACTGCCCCGGAAAAACGCTCGTAATACAATTTCCTTTTTTTTTTTTTCCTTTTGCGACACAGTCTCGCTCTGTTGCCCAGACTGGAGTGTAGTGGCTCAATCTTGGCTCACTGCAGCCTCTGCCTCCCAAGTTCAAGTGACTTTCATGCCTCGGACTCCTGAGTAGCTGGGATGACAGGCACGCAACCATGCCCGGCTAATTTTTGTATTTTGTATTTTTAATAGAGATGGGTTTCACCATGATGACCAAGGTGGTCTCAAACTCCCAACTTTAGGTGATCCACCTGCCTCGGCCTCTCAAATTGCTGGGATTACAGGCGTGAGCCACCACGCCTGGCCAATTTTTTTTTAAGGGCAGTAATACTTTTATGAAATGTTTTATGAAAATTTTAAAGGTTCATAAACACTACTGTCTGAACTGTAATTTTTTTTTTTTTTTTAAGACAGGGTCTCACTCTGTTGCCCAGGCTGGAGTGCAGTGGTACGATCTCAGCTCAAAGCAACCTCCGCCTCCTAGATCAAGTGATTCTTCTGCCTCAGCCTCCCAAGTATCTGGGATTACAGGCGTGCACCACCATGCCTGGCTTTTTTTTTTTTTTTGGTATATTTTAGTAGAGACCAGGTTTTACCATGTTGGCTAGGCTGGTCTCGAACTCCTGACTTCAGGTGATCCGCCTATCTTGGCCTCCCAAAGTGCTGGGATTACAGACTCAACTGTATTCTTTAAAAGGCATGGGGAAGAAACCAGAAAGTATCACAGTATTAATGGTGGGTTTTTCTGGGGCTGGGATCATGGCAGTCCTCTTGTCAGTTAGCTGCTCCCATGTCACCCAGTTGCCCGAACACCTGTCACAGGCAACCTGGCAAAGGCAGCGAAGAGCAAAATCCTTAGGTGTGTCTGCCTTGGTCAGTGTAGTACTGCACGTAAAGTGGACATCAGGTAATATGCCATTTCTAAGTTACCCTCCCTGGAAAAACACTAGAATGTTCCCCTCAACACTGAATCTGCTGAGAGAGGGCGGCCGGAGGCAGCCGTCCCCAGTGCGCTCACGTCACTTGCTTTCATCTGTGGGAACTCCCAGGAAGGTGTGGGAGGAGGAGAGGCAGCCACGTGCACTCACATAGACGGCGAAGTCCTTGGGGGCGCTGCTGATGTTGCCTGTTGGCGACAGCGTCTTAGGAATGTGCTCCAGAGTGAAGGCGGCTGGGTGGATCATCATGGAGAGCCTCACCACCAGGTACCCCTGGGAGCCTTTAAATGCCCAGCAGTTACCGGGGTAAATGTCAGGCTGAGGAAAGGAAAAACATGAGGACTCGGAGTGTGAGCATGCTCTTACCCACTCAGAAGCAGTAAGAGGAAAGGCTGATTATACTGAGCTAAAAATAATTTTTACATGGTAGAAACTGCCATGAGCAAAATCCAAAGATAAGCTGGGAAAAACATTTGTAATTCACTCCTCAAAGGGCCATTATCTCCAGCCTGTATGTTGTATAAAAGTTAAAATGACCAGAACCTTAAAGAAAAATGGGTGAGACATACAACATACTTCAAAGAAAAGGTGAACGTCAGTGGTCCTCGGTCGTGGGAAGATGCCCTCCACCCTGCACAGCAAGAAGGGACAACATCACAGGGAACCACCACTGCCCCCATCCGACCAACATCAAATCAAGGGTCTAACAGAGTCTGCCGCTGACGCCCTGGGGAGATGCACATTCTCACCGCCGGCCACGGTGCGGCGTGCAGCCCCAGAAGCGCAGCTTGGCGAGGTCAGCCCACTGTGCACACATCTGCCTCTGGCCTGCAGTCGCACCTCCACCTCCAGGTGCAGGGACAGAACTGCAGGATGCAGATGCGACCGAGAGCACGCCTCACAGCGCGACGTCCCCAGGCACACACAGGGACTGGCTGAGAAGCTGCAGACGCTGTGTCCAGGCAGTCATGCTGCTGTGTGCAATGGAGGAGGCCGCCGTGCAGGCAGCCTGCCTTCGGTGTGTGAGAATGACACACACGTTAGTTCATGTTTAGACGAGACGGTGAACAATGGGCACGTACCCGCCGGCTTCTCCTCTATGCCAGCTGTGCATTTACTGCCCCTCAGCCCCCAAGCCACCCTTCTGCTGCGCTGTGAAGATGGAGCTGAGCCTTGAACTGCTCTCCCTTTGCCAGCGCAGAGCCTAGCCCTTGCCAGCTCAGGGTGCTGGAGGGACACTGAGGTTCCCTGGTTCCCCTCTTGGGAGTGCTGCAGCCAAACGCCTGGTGAGTCACCCTGCTGTGCACGGGCTTTCCCAGCATGCTGGCACATTCCTCGGTGTGGCACCACAGCAACTTCCCCGACGTGCAGTGAGCTGGGCCACGCCCTCGCCCAAAGGTCTGGAGAGACCCTCTGGCGAGGCTCCACTGTGGTCCCTTCCATCTGCTGTCCCTACGTTCTGTAAACGTTCTCTTTACTTCCCAGGAGCCGACAGCTTCGCGGTCCAGTCCCATCACAGTGACGGCGGTTTATATGGTCCCTTCCATCTGCTGTCCCTACGTTCTGTAAACGTTCTCTTTACTTCCCAGGAGCCGACAGCTTCGCGGTCCAGTCCCATCACAGTGACAGCGGTTTATATGAAGTCTGCCCCTCCAGGGACATGCAGTTCCTGCCGAGAGAGAACTGTGCCAGGGAGGGCTGAGCTCCACCCTCTCCCTCAGTCTCTGAGACACTGAAGCCACACTGCACTCTCACCCCCAGATCCCCACCAGCGTCACGCTGACGACGCTGCGGGCCAGTGAGCTCCTCTGGAAGGGTCAGGATCACCAAGCCCGCTGAGGAGGAGGTTACAGCCAGGAGCAGGAGAACCGCCATGCAGGAACACCGTGGCAACCCCATGCAGGAAACCTGTCGGCCCTGCCGGGTGACACAGACTGTGCCGGTGGCGCTCGCGAGCTGGCACGGAAAAACCAGCTGCATGCCAAGCGCAGGGCTGTGTGGCTTCACGGCAGCAGAGGCTGCATCTGCCTGCAGTGAGGAGGGCTCCCGGCTGCGCCCTCGGGAGCAAAGTGCTGGTGAGTCTGTGTGCTGCTGATGGCCACAGAAAGCCAAACAGTCCCGCCGACCTGACACTTCCACCGGGGTGGCCTGGGGACGAGATCATGACGACGACAGTCCCGCAGGACCTTCAACTTCAGGTCACGGGCATGTCATGAATTCTTTCAGGCTGGACTTGTGTTTTCCAAGTGAAAGCTGTCTTGGCATTGTTCCACATACAAGGAATTACTGGACTTTTCTTCAAAACATGTCATGAATATTAGGCAGGATTTGAGTACTGAGGCAAAATAGATCTATCTATTTAAATTCTCCATCCTTTAGTGCTTTAAACTTGTACAGTCAATAGTATAAAGTATTAAACGAAGCCACAGAAAAGCAGTACACAATAAGGACGACAGCAGAACGTCCAGGAGACGGGGGGTGAAGGCCTGGGAGACGGGGGGTAAAGGCCTACACCGAGGCCAGACAGCAAGGGCCTCCCCACCTATTCTCTCTCAACACCCGAGAAAGCACAGCTGACACTCTCGTGACGGAAGACCCACAGCCCTGAGCAGGAACAGTTGCCACTCAAAAGAGGGAGGGAGGAAGGCCGACGGGACCAGCATGTGCCACACGGTCCCATCTTTGCGACACTAAACCCAAGCCAACAGACGTGTAGCGTGGAGGCTACACGGGGACTCCTCGGTGTGGGAACACTGCTGCTGCTTGCGGTACCAGTTCCACAGACATGTTCATCTCACGAAGTTCTGCCAGGCTGGGGACGTACGACCTGTGAACACTAACAGAGCCCATGCTGAAGAGCAGCTCCGGCCACCGGCGGCCACTCACCTGGATGACCACGCGTGGGGACTGCGAGAAGTACCACAGCGGGATCCCAAACAGACTCATCAGGGCCGTTTTGGTTTCGTACGTTTCAGAACAGCGAGTACTCAGGATGCTGCCACCTTAAAGCAAAGTTCAGATCAGTCTCAGGGCCCAGTTCCACCATTTTGGAAGTAATAGTATTGCACCTCTTAAGGATTTACTCAGAATGTTTTCAAGAAAAGTGCTCAACGTCACTGATAGAGAAATGCAAGTAAAAGCTGCAATGAGATTTCCTCTCCCTGCCGTTAAAATGGCTTCTATCCTAGAGACAGGCAGTAACAAATGCTGGTGAGGACACGGAGAAAGGAATCCTCACGCACTGTTGCTGGGAATGGAGACTAGTACAACCACCATGGAGAGCGGTTCGGAGGTCCCTCAGAAAACCCACAACAGAGCTACCATATGACCCAGCAATGCCACTCCGAGGTACATACCCAACAGAAAGCAGGGCCGTCTATCGTAGGGAGATCCACACTTCTATCTTTGGTGCAGCACTACTTGTTTACCATGACTAACATCTGGAAGCAACCTAAATGTCCACTAACAGATGAATGGGTTGCATAAACACAATGGAGTACTACTCAGCCATAAAAATCAATGAGAGCAGGCCAGGCGCAGTCGCTCACACCTGTAATCCCAGCACTTTGGGAGGATGAGGCAGATGGATCACTTGAGGTCAGGAGTTCCAGACCAGCCTGGCCAACATGGCGAAACCCCATCTCTACTAAAAATACACAAATTAGCCAGGCATGGTGACGGGCGCCTGTAATCCCAGTTACTTGGGAGGCTGAGGCAGGAGAATTGCTTGAACTGGGAATGAGCCAAGATCACGTCACTGACTCCAGCCTGGGTGACAGAGCAAGACTACACCTCAAAAAAAAAAAAAAAAAAAGGCTTGTCATTTGCAACATGGATGGATACCAGAGGTCTTTATGTTAAGTGAAATAAGCCAGGCATAGAAAGACAAACATCCCATGTTCTTACTTACTTGTGGGATCTAAAAACCAAAACCGTTGAACTCATGGACAGAGACAGTAGAAGGGTGGTACCAGGGACTGGGAAGGGGAGTTGGGGCTTGGGGAAAGTGGGAATGGTTAATGGGTCAAAAAAAAAAAAAAAAAAAGAAAGAAAGAGAATGAGGCAGAGTGCAGTGGCTCACGCCTGTAATCCCAGCACTTTGGGAGGCCAAGGCGGGCAGATCACCTGAGGTCAGGAGTTCCAGACCAGCCTGACCAACAGGGACAAACCCCATCTCTACTAAAAATACAAAAATTAGCCAGACGTGGTGCTGTGCCCCTGTAGTCCCAGCTACTCAGGAGGCCGAGGCAGGAGAATCGCTTGAAATTGGGAGGCAGAGGTTGTGGTGAGCCGAGACTGCACCACTGCACTCCAGCCTGGGCAACAGAGACTCTTTGTCTCTAAGAAAAATGAATGCATAAGACCTACTGTATGATAGCAGAACAGGGTGACTACAGTGAATAACTTAATTGTGCTTTTTTTTTTTTTTTTTTTTGAGATGAAGTTTCACTTGTTGTCCAAGCTAGAGTGCAATGGTACGATCTTGGCTCACTGCAACCTCTGCCTCCTGGGTTCAAGCGATTCTCCTGCCTCAGCCTCCCGAGTAGCTGGGATTACAGGCGCCCACCACACCCGGATAATTTTTTTGTATCTTTTTGGTAGAGACGGGGTTTCTCCATGTTGGTCAGGGTGGTCTCAAACTCCTGACCTCAGGTGATCCACCTGCCTCGGCCTCCCGAAGTGCAGTGAGCCCCTGCACCGGCCTAACTGCATTTTTAAATAACTTAGAGTATAACTGAATTGTTTGTAACTCAAAGGATAAATGCTGGAGGGGATGGGTACCCCGTTTTCCATGATGTGCTTACTTCACATTGCAGGCCTGTATCAGAACATCTTATACACCCCATAAATATATGCACCTATGTATCCACAAAAACTAAAAAATAGGTAATTAGTTAAGAACCCATTAAAATACATAAGTTTGAAAATGACAAAGAATGTTATCTAATACCAGCTAATAAATATTTTAGGGTTAAAAAAAGTGTTTTTAAACTTCTCAAGTTTTTTTTTTTTTTTTTTTTTTTTTTTTTGAGACGGAGTCTCGCTCTGTCGCCCAAGCTGGAGTGCAGTGGCGCGATCCTGGCTCACTGCAAGCTCCGCCTCCTGGGTTCACGCCATTCTCCTGCCCCAGCCTCCCGAGTAGCTGGGACTACAGGCGCCCGCCACTGTGCCCGGCTCATTTTTTGTATTTTTAGTAGAGATGGGGTTTCACCGTGGTCTCGATCTCCTGACCTTGTGATCCGCCCGCCTCGGCCTCCCAAAGTGCTGGGATTACAGGCGTGAGCCACCGCGCCCGGCCAAACTTCTCAAGTTTTTACATATAGAAAGAACCTCCTACTTTTAGACCAGTCCTTTTCTTAATTGTCCTTTCTCAAATTGAGTGTTAAGAGTTTACAACTGCTTTAGGATACAGAATTTTTACTTACTGAAATTGGGAAATTCTTACAATACTGGCCTTCCCCCACTACTGCTAGAGAGATAGCTACTCTGAATGAACTTTCCTTGGTTTTTCTCAATGAAGAATAAAGCACACAACTGAGCCTGGTGTCACCTGGCAGGTGAGCTTTCAGGCCCTGAAGAGCAGACCTTCCGTCACAGTAATTACCAATCACAGTGAAAAGGCTGGGGCCGTGAGGATGACTGCTGGCAGGTACAGGGTTTCCTAGCGGGGGTCAGAAAGATTTTGGGGTGAGGCAGTGGTGATGGCTGCACTGTGAATATGCTAATAACCACAGAGCTGTACATTTTAAAATGGTGAATTTTTGTGTGAATTACATCTCAATAATAAGAGGAAGCATAAAAAACAAGTCCAGCTTGGCCCTCAATAGGAAATAGGGCAGGCAGAATGTTGTTGTCATAGCAGGACAAAAACCCCCAAGAAACAAAAACCAAGCTGGCCCTGAAGGCAGCACACAACACCAGGCAGCAAGGGCAAGCTCAGAAGGGCGGCACTCCAGGGGCCCTGGTGCTGGTGAACCACGGGCCGGAGAGGCAGAAACTGATGGTTTTTGTTTTTTTCTCACTCTGTCCCCAGGCTGGAGTGCAGTGACATGATCTCGGCTCACTGCAAGCTCCGCCTCCCAGGTTCATGCCATTCTCCTGCCTCAGCCTCCCGAGTAGCTAGGACTACAGGCGCCGCCACCTCGCCCGGCTAGTTTTTTTTTATTTTTAGTAGACATGGGGTTTCACCGTGTTGGCCAGGATGGTCTCGATCTCCTGATCTCGTGATCCGCGCCCGCCTTGGCCTCCCAAAGTGCTGGGATTCCAGGTGTGAGCCACCGTGCCCGGCCAGAAACTGATGCTTTAACCAGGAAAACCAGGGGATTTTAATGTAGCTGATTGAGACCCAAATTTCCAAACCACTGAATTATCTTTTTAAAAATCCTGTTCTCCGTCTAACTCACAAAGTGCCAATCAATGTTTTCTTCAGTATCAGAACCTTCAGTGCAGCCTTCTCAGGATTACCAATGTTCTGAGGTACACAGAAACCTGTTAGGATTAACTAGAGTTTTAAGAATAAATGACATCTCGGCTCAAACTGTATGGTTCATGTCAATTGATGCCTCTTAATGGAAAATAATTTCTTCCTAAATCACTGAATTTCAAAATATATAACTAAAAGCACTTAATATTCTAAAAAGGTCACTTTAAACACACACACACACTGATCAAGCCAGTAGCCTTGTTGACATCTACCATTTGGAAGAATCTGGCCATTGTTACTATGACTTCAGTCTGCAGCCACCACAGGAAGAACCCACGGGGTGGCAAATGACTGAACTCAAACCCAGCTGCTCCCGTACTAATGGGATCAGGTTCCTGCACAACCACGCGGCAGAGTCCCTACCCAGCCCTACACCATCGTGGGTTTTAGAAATCCCTCCTGCTCTGCAGACTCTCCAGTCCCTCCACGCACTAACGTGTACTGAACTCAGCATATTCTGAGTGATAATGTGAGTCTCCCAGCCCACATTTGCAAATCCTACATTTAAAAACTTCAGAAAGGCTGGGCGTGGTGGCTCATGCCTGTAATCCCAGCACTTTGGGAGGCTGAGGTGTGCAGATCACAAGCTCAGGAGATTGAGACCATCCTGGCTAACATGGTGAAACCCCGTCTCTACTAAAAATACAAAAAAATAGCAGGGCGTGGTGGCGGGCGCCTGTAGTCCCAGCTACTCGGGAGGCTGAGGCAGGAGAATGGCGTGAACCCGGGAGGCAGAGCTTGGGAGTGAGCCGAGATCGCGCCACTGCACTCCAGCCTGGGCAACAGAGCAAGACTCTGTCTCAAAAAAAAAAAAAAAAAAAAAAAAAAAAAACCACAAACCTTCAGAAAACCAAGATTTCGATTTCCATAACACGTGTGGTGCAAACCTTCCCTGAGCAGACGTGAAGCAGGTCTAGCTCTCCTCTCATGGTTCTTTCGGAAATGCTCGTGTCTGATCCAGGTGTGCTGCCCCACTCCCCATGGAGGGGCTGTGTGGACCCCAAGACTTTCCTCAGCTGCGATTCTGATTTTCAAATGCATCTGCCCCAAGAGGTCTGGCCTAGGCTTGTGCCCCTGCAGGGTTTCCCAGACCCTGACCACAGCGGCCTTTGTATTTCTCTGAGGTCCTGAAACACTGCCCCCATCATTCCATTTGCTTAGCCTGCTCCTGTTCCCGGTCTGTCTTGCTGCTGAATGGACACCCTCGGGGAGAGCTGTGTGGTCACTGCTGAGTCTCTCCTGAAGGCACTGAACAATCCCCGATCACAGCACAGGAGAGAGTGAAGTCGACCAAACTTTCTGTGCTGTGAACCTTGACTTAGCCACAAGCATGCACCCCCAGCCCTTCCAGGGGAGAACCTGTGCCCCCCAAACACAACTGGCCAGCAAGAAAGAATACCAGGGACATGCCCAGAATCACATGCCTTTTCTCAGATGTGTAAACGTTAGGAGTCTTTACTGCTGGACGTGGGGCAGCAACAGCCTCTCCAGTGCACAACCCTGCTAACAGGTGACCATCTCACTTAGTAATCTGAACGTCTGTTTACTCACCACCAGATTCCAGAGCAAAGTCCACCATCCCAGTCTTATCTTGGGAATACAGCTTCAAGGCGTTGTTCACGATGGCACGTGCTTGCTGGACAGACACGAGGACAGACCACCAAACACCAGAACAGGAGAGGAGAGACTTGGGTTTTAGTGCCATAGATGAGGACCAGACACTTACATTAGAGCATTTTCTTTTTTTTTTTTTTTTTTTTTTTTTTTTGAGACGGAGTCTGGCTCTGTCGCCCATTCTGGAGTGCAGTGGCGCGATCTCGGCTCACTGCAAGCTCCGCCTCCCGGGTTCACACCATTCTCCTGCCTCAGCCTCCCGAGTAGCTGGGACTACAGGCGCCCGCCACTGCGCCCGGCAAATGTTTTGTATTTTGTAGTAGAGACGGGGTTTCACCGTGTTAGCCAGGATGGTCTCGATCTCCTGGCCTCGTGATCCACCCGCCTCGGCCTCCCAAAGTGCTGGGATTACAGGCGTGAGCCACCGCGCCCGGCCAAGAGCATTTTCTCAATGGAACCTATGTAGGGGATCCTAGGCATGAGAGAAGTAACTCCACACTCCAGTCCTGTACCTAACTGCCAAGGCCATAGGATGGAGATGGGACGGCACGAGGTCTCTTCCCCCAGGGCTCAGTCATGGCCGCCATCAATCTTTGAACCAGAAAAATCCCCCAGACGCCATAAAACATGAATAAAGGAAAGATGAGACTTCAAGCCTGGAACACAGGAAATTCTGGCAATTTAGGTATTACTGAGTGACATGGTTTGGCTGTGTCCCTGACCAAGTCTCACCTTGAATTGCAGCTCCCCTAATTGCCATGCTGTGGTGGGGACTGGGTGGGAGGAACCGAGTCATGGCCTTGAATTGCAGCTCCCATAATTCCCACATTGTGGTGGGGACTAGATGGGGGAACCGAGTCATGGCCTTGAATTGCAGCTCCCGTAATTCCCACGCTGTGGTAGGGACTGGGTGGGAGGAACCGAGTCATGGCCTTGAATTGCAGCTCCCCTAATTCCCATGCTGTGGTGGGGACTGGGTGGGGGGAACCAAGTCACGGCCTTGAATTGCAGCTCCCCTAATTCCCACGCTGTGGTAGGGAATGGGTGGGAGGAACCAAGTCATGGCCTTGAATTGCAGCTCCCATAATTCCCACATTGTGGTGGGGACTAGATGGGGGAACCAAGTCATGGCCTTGAATTGCAGCTCCCGTAATTCCCACGCTGTGGTAGGGACTGGGTGGGGGGAACCGAGTCATGGCCTTGAATTGCAGCTCCCCTAATTCCCACGCTGTGGTGGGGACTGGGTGGGGGGAACCGAGTCATGGCCTTGAATTGCAGCTCCCATAATTCCCACACTGTGGTGGAGACTAGGTGGGGAAACTGAGTCCTGGGGGTGGGGTTTCTCCCATGCTGTTCTCCTGATAGTGTCTCATGAGATCTGATGGTTTTATAAAGGGAGTTCCCTTGCACATGCTCTCTTGCCTGCCGCCATGTAAGACATGACTTTGCTCCTTGTTCACCTTCCCCCATGATTGTGAGGCTTTCCCAGCCATGTGGAACTGTCAATCATCCTTTCTAAATTGCCCAGTCCTGGGTATGTCTTTATTAGCAGCATGAGAACAGACTAATACACGGAAACATTTTCATGGAACTTCAGAAGGTGTGGCCACCACACAAGCAGATGGGCTCTTTTGGACAAAAAGATTCACAAAGTATAAAGAACTCCCAAGAGGCAGCTCAGTAATGACATCGATAGCAAGAGCTGAAGCTCACCGCACAGGTGCCCCTCCATACACGGCACACTGCCCAGGCACATCCCATCTCACTTATGTCAGCTAAGCATACCCCAGCCAGACCACTCTTAAAACAACACATCAACATCCACGCCTCACAGCGAGGTCTTCAGTCTCAGCAGAGAATGGACTGTAAGCATTTCTTGCCGCCGACTCACCGCCTCTGTTATTCCAGACGCCCCCGCCTCGCTCACAGCAGACACCACGACTTCCGAGGCTGGGAGCCGCTTGGTCACGGAAATGTGGTGGGTGACGTTCCTCAGGATCTGCAGCTCCAGGTCTCGCAGCATCGTGTGCAAGTCGCCTCTCCTCACACACTGCGACGAGAACCTCTGTAGCAGCTGTTCCAGAGAGCCGCCTTGCTGATCTTCGGAAAACAGGAGTTTCACTGTTTCTCTGACTTGCACATCCACCTAGTAAAACAGTAGAGAGACACAAATTTACTATTTTAACTAAATCATTTCCATTCTTTGGGTCCATTATCTTAGATATCTCAGAAGTATTATATATCCTCTCGAAATCTAGAATGTCATTGTGACAGTGTTTTCCTTCGTATTAAATTTAAGAACCTCTCCAATAATGCAGGAACACGTTAAAAAGAACAGAAATAGGCGAGCTCGTGGGATGAGGACGACCTGCATCTTAGGAGCTGCAAGATGCGATGGGGCATGTCCACACCATCCGGAGGTGCATGTCCATCCAGCAAGCACCCGCCGGGCACCCTGCAGCTAGGCACACAGGTGCACTGGAGAGGCCCTGCCATCAACAAACTTGGTCTGGTAAGAAAACAGTCATATAAACGAACCTAAATTATAGCTTCATGTATGCTAAATACGCCCCGTGTTATTTCTACGCACACAAACACATATGTAAATACCTTTTTCTTCCTGCTTTATAACAATAGACCGTGAAGGAAATGGCAAAGCCTATGGCACGGCCGTTCATCACAGCCACCCTCCCACGCTCCACGTGTGGACACACCTTTCTCTAGCCCACACCCGCTAACAGTGGCACGTGGCTGCTTTCTACCCTCACTTCTCCCCACACTAACTTCGCAGCGCTAACCCTACTGCCTGTGTGGCCTCTGTACTGGTGCCTTTATTTCTGTAGGATGACTCCCAAGGGCATGGTTGTGCGTTTCAAAGAGTGCAGGTATTTGTCACTGGTGAATATCCTAAGATTTTCCCCCCGAGGCCGTGGTTGGTGACAGTCCTCCTGGCCAGGGGAAAGCCTGCTGCCTTGGCCAGTGCTGACAGCAGCCGGCGTCCTCGTGGGCCTGTAGACTACAGATGAGAGCCTGCTGTAGTCTGCAAGTCCCATCAGCAGGACTGAGCTCCCTGATGGCACATTGGCTTTTTCTTTTTTTTTTGAGACAGAGCCTCACTCTCGCCCAGGCTGGAGTGCAATGGCGTGATCTCGGCTCACTGCAACCTCCGCCTCCCAGGTTCAAGCGATTCTCCTGCCTCGGCCTCCCGAGTAGCTGGGATTACAGACCCACGCCACCACACCCGGCTAATTTTGTATTTTTAGTAGAGGGTTTCACCAAGTTGGACAGGCTGGTCTCGAACTCCTGACCTCAGGTGATCCGCCCGCCTAGGCCTCCCAGACTGCTGGAATTACAGGTGTGAGCCACCGCGCCCAGCCTATCGCACGCTTTCTCTGTCGCCACTGCTTCTCTTCCTACCAATTCTAGGGGCTCTCTGCCCATAAGAGATAATTTTACCACACATATTGCAAATACCTTTACCAATCTACTGTCTGACTTTGACGACTTTTGCCAAATGATTGTGTTTTCATTCTTAAGCAGCTCTAAATGTCTAGATTTTCTCCTCTGCCTAAGGATGATGGACTTGAAGCAATGTCTATGATATGTTTTAACATGAAACAGAGCAAGCAGCAGGTTCAAGGTGAGTCTATTTATTGAAAGGTACACAGCAACAACCCAGCCACAAGTCAGCGCTGGCCCTGGGCTGCACGCACACCAAGGAGACTGGAAAGACGCACGGTGGGTGCTGACAGGCGGTGGTGCGGGAACGGGAAAATCTACAGAGCGCTGAATTAGTTATTTTGAAATATTTAAAAAGTTCACATATAGTCAAAAAAGTTTTTAAAGGAAGTTGAAATTAAACAACTTAGGCCAGGCGTGGTGGGTGGCTAAGGCCTGTAATCCCAGCACTTTGGGAGGCCGAAGCAAATAGATCACTTGGAGTCAGGAATCTTGAGACCAGCCTGACCATCGTGGTGAAACCCCGTCTCTACTGAAAACACAAAAATTAGCTGGGCATAGTGGCACGTGCCACTAGTCCCAGCTACTCGGGAGACTAAGGTGGGAGAAGAGTTTGAACCCAAGAGGTGGAGGTGGTCTGCAGTGAGCCGAGATCGTGCCACTGCAGTCTAGCCTGCACGCCACAGCAAGACTCGGTCTCAAAAAAAAAAAAAAAAAAAAAATTTAAACAACTAATAAACCTAAGTCATCAGGTTTTCTTTTACTCTATTATAAAACAAAAAGTAAACACGCAAGCAGCTCACTCTTTCTTGTAGAGCATCCACTGTCTCACAGCCAGTCTTCATGTGTCGCCAGCTGGACAGCTCTGACTTTAGCTGATCCAGCTCCAGCTGGAGGTGCTCAACCGTGGGCAGGAGCTGCTCACCAACCGCACTGGAATCCAACAGTGAGAATGGGTCACACACAAGCCTCCCAGCCTACACACTTCCCACACTACACACAGGCTGAGGGGACCCGATCCCACTCCTGGGTGTCCTAACTGTACAGATGTCAACCTGTGCCACACTAACATGGAAACTGAATGCCAGTTTCCAATAAAAATCCCAGAGAGGTCGTCTTCTGCATCAATTTATGTCTGTAACATACAAATATCCACACTGCACAAGGAGGCTACCTACAAAAATGCTGCTAGCGGTGTTTCTCTGTGGCGAGTGAGAGCTCTCTCTGAAAACGATTTAAGCATCTAAAAACTTTATTTCTGGACTGGGCACGGTTGCTCATGCCTATAAGCCCAGCACTTTGGGAGGCCGAAGCAGACGGATCACTTGAGGCCTTTATAGGTACACATACTTAATGAGATACTAACAATTCATATCTCAAAAAGCTCATTCCCGGATCAACACTTTAGGACTGACATATTACCGTATTAAAGCAACTTTTTATTGAAATAAAAGCTTTGGAAGAAGAGAAAACTGCTTCAGCTCTCACACCTGTCCTCACAGAGGAGGAACATGGGGCACAGGGGAGGACGGACCCTCCTGAGTGCAGACGCGGGGACCTTGGGAAACCACAACCAAGCCAAGGCTGCCCAATCTAGAAGCGGGGAGGGCTGTGGGGGTATGAGCTGTGTGTATAAAACTAAGGAAGACAGACAAAGCTGCCGTGTTGGGAACACCTGTGAGAGGGAGGCACTCCACTTAAGCAGGCTTCAGGCAAATCAGTAGTTGTGTGGAAGAAAGCTGCCTGGAGTCCTCGAGGAGCAAAACGCCAGCATCCCCAGGAAGCGCAGAGGGACCCGGATGTGCCATGAATTCCAAGGGCAGCAGGGCCAACAGCCACGCAGAGGCCCACCGTGACATGCCCAGCACAAATCGGGTGGTTCTGGAAGCAGGTGTCCTGCCCACCAGGAGCAGCAGCAGGGATGAGGCTGAGCTGTAACCCCACCCACCTAGATGCCAACGGTGCCAGCGCAGGCCCGGCGCAGAGCCCACCATGACACCCACTATGGCATGGGCTGCAAGATGGGCCTCGACCTACTCCCTGAGGGTGGCCCTGCAAGCACACTGGAGACGAAGTTACAGCAGGGGCAAGGGCAGCACCTTTGACACGGAGGTCCATGCCACACGGAAGGGGATGTGGCAAGTCCCTCAGGACCCGTTTGTCCTCACGCAGCCCAGCAGGAGTGTCTGTCAGCACAAACCTCAGGGCCTTCAGGTGACCCACGGTGGAGGCTGGCCCCGTGTCCCCTCGTTCATCACTCTGCTGCCGCTCCACATAACAAACACACACACACACACACACAGAAGACAAAAGTGAGTGTTTTCCAAATCCTCCTACCTGACTGTTTTTTGCTTGGTCTGTTCTAGTTCCTTCTGGATGGCCTAAAAAATACAAGAAATAATCTACTGAAATACTTAAGTTATATATTAACTTTTCATAAATCCATATACTTAAAACTCCATTGATTTCTCTGAAACACCCCCTTTAATTCAAAGTCCAGATCCGCCTGTGGGTGGCAGGTAGGAAGTGTTCATTGTACATTTGAAAGTAACCTTCATCAAGTGTGTGCAGAAAGGAGCACAAATCACACGGGGACGGCCTGGCGGGCTCAGAACATGCAGCTCCCGTAACCAGCACCCAGGCTGGGAGTCAGCTCCCTGTCACACCTCCAAAGTGTGTTCTAAACGTGAAGGACAGGGACACGGCAGAGGCACACATGAAGCTGAGCCATGCTGGCCTGTGCCATCCGCGCGACCTGACAGCAGCACCATGCTGAGTGCCGGCGTCAGCCCCAAGTCGCACTCCACGGAGGTCTCCACAGCCTGGCCCAGGGCAGGCGGACATAGGAGGAGGCACCCTGCAGACCCTTGCGAGCGGACACAGGAGGCGGTGCCCCGCAGACCTTCATGAGTGGACACAGGAGGCGGCGCCCCGCAGACCCTCGCAGGCAGGTACATTCTCCCCTCTGCCTGCTCCTCTCAGCCCTCCTCTCCCTCCCAGGTAAACCCGCCTGATCTCACAGGTTCCATAATCCATGAGCAGGTCCCAAGATTCCCAAAAGGGTGTGCTAAAGACAACCCTTAGGCTCACCACGTTTCTCAATGTAGTTCAATACACACATGCACATGTGACACGCCAGGCTCTGTGTCAAGCACCAGAGACACAAAGAGCCGGAACCTGAGCCCCACCCTAACTCCCAAGGGCTGAGGGCAGCGCAGAGGCCCGGCCCCTCCCCTGGCATTCTCAGCAACTAATGGTCCCAGCCTTCCCACCCAAAGCTAGTGCTGTCTGTCAAAAGGTTCAGGTCCTTTATCTCCCCTCTAAAGACACTGCAAGGGGGTGTGTGGCAGCGAGGAAGCACCCTGGAGCCGGAAAAAGCTGGATGGGAACCCAGAGGCCGCCTGGAATTGGCAGAGCCACCTCCTGGCGTGTGCAACCCTACTCTGTGCCGAGACACAGGGATGAGTGAGTTACACGCCCGATTAAATGTTAGAGTCCCAGAGCCCCTGCCACACCAGACAGAGAACAAGTGTTTCTTTCCACTTTACACAACAGCAAATAGCCTAAAAAGAGGAACATTAAATGACCCAGGGGCTTTAAAATATGAGCCATAGTTGATTTTCTTTTTATTTTAAAAAAGCATAAGGTGCAAAATAAATACCTCAGATTTTTCTCTCAGTTTTCCCAGAATATCTTCCAAGTGTGAGATGCGCACTTCATGTTCTTGGTGAAAAGCCATAAAGTCAGTCTTAGGAAAGAAAAGGGGTGAACAAATGATGGAGAAAGCTAAGCAACAAAAACCTGGCAAGTTAGGCCAAGGCGTTTCTACACGGAATGTCGACAATCAGAGAATCTGCAGTTGCAATGTGGCACAGACCCTAAAGGAGTAATCCGCTTAATAACAACATCCTCATCTTCATCCCTAACTCCAGAGATCTTTATTTATATATTTATTTATTTTACGGCTGCACTCCAGCCTGAACCACGGGTCCCCTCTGTGGTTCATTGCAACCTCCACCTCCTGGGCTCAGACGACCCTCCCGCCTCGGCCTACTGAGTAGCTGGGACCACAGGCCTGAGCCCAGTGCACTGACGCAGCAAACCCCGTGAGGGCCTGATGCCCACCTCGGGCCACGGTGGGCCGTGCTGCAGCTGTGCTGCCCAGCAGGGCAGCACCAGTCACTCGTGGCTACTGGGCACCTGAAATGGGGCCATGCAAGTGAGAACCTGCCATTTAAAGTTCGATGTGGTGTTGACTGACAAAAATGTAACGACCATATGCTAGTAGTGGCGTCCTCCACTAGGCAGTGCAGATGCAAACATGAGCTAGAGGCTCCGGGAAGCAGGTACCAGGCTCTGCCCGCTGCCAGGTGGCTGAGCGTTTAACACTGCGTGCACCGCTTCTGAGGGAAGCCCTGCTCTGCGTTCCAATCACTGCCATGATCACACCCAGACAGGCACATGCTGGAAGACAGCTTAAGAATGGGCTCAGGCCACATACAATTTAGTTTTCACTAAACTGTTCTGAAAAGCTGTCGACTATTTTCTTTACAAGAGAGGGCATCCTCTGAAGCAGAGGTTCCTGGGCCCCCCCACGCAATCCCTGCGGTGGGCGGGAGCATCTTGGGCTGCCTCCGAGGCGAAGTGCGTCTGGGGCCCACGTGAGACAGTATGTGTCCATCTCAGTGGTCGTCCTGTCTACAGGGACACTCAGTGGCCGTCCCGTCTGCAGGTACAGAGCGCCATGACCTGTCACCAAGAGGGCAATCTGGAGAACAGGACAGGAAAGGCCACGGTTCTCCACGACCGCCAGACTTCCCGCTTGGGGTTATCACACATCTCCTGCCCACCACTTCCACGCGTGCTATGGAAGCCACACCTCCTGGTCATCAGCAGACGATGGGAAACCCACTCCTTCCCCGGCACACTGCTCTCAACAACTAAGAACAGAAAGTGCAACCCCTTGTCACAACGACACCTCTCCCATCCCCTCTGTCGCCCAGAGAGAGAGAACACGGCACCCAGAAGCGCGCTGGTGTCACCGTGGAGCCCGGTAGCCCGGCAGCACTCACCTCCTTCAGGGGCTGTCCCACAGCATCTCTGACCGATGTTGATGGCCCGGCAGCGCCATTGTCCATCTGGTCCACCCGAGCCTGCAGCTTCTGAAGCAAAGTGGTCAGCTCTCGGAGATTCTCGCCATGGTGGTGGCACTGTCCAGACAGGGAGGTCACCTGCTGCTCCATGCCACTCATCCAATGCCATGGAAAAGCCTCGTTGTCACCCTGAAATGGTAAGAGAGGAATGAAACCAGGTAATCAAGTCACCATGAGCAGAGTCAGTCAAAACCTCCAAACAGTGTCCTACAGCAAGATGCCAGCTCTGGGGTGCACAGCACACAAATGGAGGAATCCACAGAAACCTGGAGTATCAGGTTCGATCCTTATGTGTCTGACTATGGGTGGTTCTCATTTGCTTCTCTATACTTTCTGTACTTTGCACAGTAATGAATACTATAATGTTTTTTACATTAAAACTAACTGAATCATGAGAGTACTTTAAATGTGCATTTGAACTCTTAGAACACTTAAGGAGCTCCAAAGACTTGCTTATCTGACATTTAAAAATATTTCCTACAACAGGGCACCTGACCGCAGTGCCTGGCTTACAGCAGTGTGGACGCGTCCCTGAAGACCTCACATGTGCGGTGCCAACTGACAGGCCCTTCTACCCTCTTACCTGCAGAGGCTGGTTCAGGCGAGAAGTCGCGGGTTTAAATACATCCTGGGGGTCATCCACCCGCTGTGTTCTATGCGTGCTTGCCCAGTTCAACACAGGCAGGAACGAAAAGAAATCGCCCTGGCCCCGTAAGGAGAGACCTGCTAAAAGAGAATAACCACCACACGCACACAGGTACACCACGTTTCTCAAAACATGGACTTACACGCTCATTTTTTTCCACTAAGTTACATGTATGTGTATTGCTTAGCCCCTGGATTGACTTACCAAGTAAAAGGAGGAGTGGGACGAGCAAGACTAAAAGCTTGCAGATGTTTCGAAGGCACCTGGGGGTAAAAATGAAAACCTCTGATTTGGAAATAATGAAAGTCAGCATTCACCAATCTGCTTTCCCCCTCTAGATAATTTTGTGCAAAATCCACCCCCCAGTGTTAGAAAAGCAGTTACGGTTTTATCTACAAGGCTTGTGACGCCTACAGGAGAACCTTAGTGTACAACGGCGTCCTCGAGACCTATGGTACCAACTCTCTGGTGCTGTGGGGACGGCCTAAGCTGCCCTGAGTCTCTGCCCCTTCAGGTCACCAGTCTCCCGAGGTGACTGGCGCCACTGGGCACTGCAGCAGGGGAGGAGCCTGGACCTGGGTCCCCACCCTGCCCAGGCCCTTCCAGCTGCCTCACCTCTGCACACTTGTTTTCCTTAATGATATCTGCGCCTTTCTTACCTCACAGGTTGGTTTGAAAAATAAGAATATAAAGGCACTTTTGTAAAATATATAAACATAAGCGAAATCCTTATAAAATAACAAATCAAATGAGAGCCTGCGAATGGCACAAAATTGGTTCTTTAAAGCACCAAGCTGACATGATATCCATTTCCTTACCTGGTAAGAAGAAACACATTCAGCCAAGAAATCAAAGTAACAAACTGGTACCATCCAATCCCTAGCCACCAGAACACTCCGGAGGCTGCCTTCCCTACAAGAGAAAACACCAAACATTCTAAGGAAATGTTCTCAGGAAAACCAAGCTCCTAAATGGACTGTTTCTGTGAAGGCCAAGCAAGAAGCACATGAAGATGAAGCTGGAGGTGAAGAAGTTCCATGATGCTAGTTGCCACGCGAGGCAGTAACGTGCCACGCTGATGAATACATAGGACAGCATGCAGGAGAGGCGAGGCAGTAACGTGATGAACACGCAGGACAGGATGCAGGAGAGGCGAGGCAGTAATGTATCACGCTGATGAACACGCAGGACAGGATGCAGGAGAGCAAGCCCCAGATCCATGCATTCTGTGCCCTGCACAGGGCACTCAAGCAGCCGGACTCACCCCAGACGCAACCCCAGAGAAACCAAGGGTGCTCATGCAGCAAGTAGAGTCAGTTAACACTGCTACATCATGAGGAACGAGACACGTTACGCCAAGGGTCAAAGCATGAGAGCCTACATGAGATTTTTACTTGGTTAGGTAAATCATCGAGTGCAGGTGCTTAGCTGCCAGAAGCTCTGGAGAGAACGCAACACAGAAACCCAAAATAGCCACCTGGAGCAACCACGGCCAACCACAGGGCCGACCACGCCATCCTAGACACAGCCCGGCCCGCAGCTCCGATCCTGCGCAGAGTCTGCAGCAAGAAGTAACCTGCGCAGAGAAGACGTGTAAGGCCGCAGACAGATGCCAGAGACCAGCCTCCGCACTGACGGCACCGCGGGGACACCCACACCACACACTTCACCAGAGCCCACGTCAGTGGGTCGAGTCTCCTCAAAAAATACGAAAACCAAGTAACTCTTGTAAGTGTTGGCAATACCGCACTGACATTACCATAGGAAAAGCTCAGTTCTATATTTAATATTTTCACTCACTTCTGCCTGCAGATACTTCAGATGTAAAATGCAGATATTCCTTACGAAACCCCGGGGGCAGCGGTTGGAAGCCACCCTATAAATATTGGCCATTGGTGCCAGCACAGTTTATATTGGAAAGATAGTACCATATTTTAAAGCAGATTGAAATTCCATAGACCCCTGCAGTTCATACGCTCTAGGTGAGAAAATAATTACTCAAAGACCAAAATTCACATTATTCTAAAGGCTAATATTTTCTAGTGAAAAAGTGTTTCAGAAGGGTAACACGGCACTACCGGATGATGGAATGCACCACAATCAACTTAGTATCAAACCTCACATTACAAAAAGCAGGAAACTCATGAAATCCGTTTTGTTCCAGTTTTTTTTTTTTTTTTTTTTAAAGAGACAGGGTTTTGCTATGTTGGCCAGGCTGGTCTTGAACTCCCGGCCTCAAGTGATCCACCCGCCTCGGCCTCCCAAAGTAAGTTTTGTTCCAGATCTCATGGTGGGTGGTTCTCTCCTCACACTGACTTAACATCTGTATGTTAATTCCTGCAACTATGTAATTACAACATGGCTGGCATGCAAAGAAGTATGGCTTATGAGAATTTAACAGAAAAATCAATTGCTTTACGTTTATTAATTAGCAGATGAGACAATTATTTTTGAAACTTTTTTTTTAAGATTCCAAAAAAGGGTGTCTCTCTGCCAAGACAGTTTTGAGTGTAGACTGGAAACAAGTAATGTGCTCATGTAAGCTTTGGGGCACAGACAGCAACCACTAAAGCGGCACAGGGCAGAGGTGCAGCCGCGGCGAGCCCCGGTTCCAGTTCCCACACAGCGGGGTGAGCAGGGACTCAACTTTTCTCAACTTTCAATCTCACCGCAAATACATTCCTTTTCAAATGTTTAACTCATCCTAAATAAATGTACAAGGAGGCCAGGTGCAGTGGTTCACACCTGTAATCCCAGAACTTTGGGAGGCCGAGGCAGGTCGATCACCTGAGGTCAGGAGTTCAAGACCAGACTGACCAACATAACGAAATCCTGTCTCTACTAAAAACACAAAAAGAATCCTTCACTCAGGAGGCTGTGGCAGAATTGTCTGAACTCAGGAGGCGGAGGCTGCAGTGAGCCGAGACTGCACCACTGCACTCCAGCCTGGGCGACAGAGTGAGACTCCATCTCCAAAAAATCAATTCACAAGGAATCTTTTCGAGAGAGATTCACCCTGTTTTAAACCAAAGTTAATACTATTCTTGTCAGTTTTTACAGCAAGACTTTAAAGCACTTGAATTCCAAGCACAAACCACACAAGGCGCAAATAGCGTGGTGACGGGGCAGGATGAGATGGAGACGGGGCGAGAGACAACCTGCACACGCCCAGATGTGCCGGAGGGTCCCTGCCCGCCTGGGCGGCCGTGGCGACTGCAAGTGGACAGCTGTGTACGCGTCGAGGTGCCTCTTGCCCTTACAGTCGTCGCCTGTGGGTGACAAGCAGTGAATGTGGCGGATTCACAAGCAAACTCTGTCCATCTCAGCTGTGCACGGCAACGGCAGTCTGAAAAACTAGGAAACTCAATTACACACAAGACAGTTAACAATCAAAGCAAATGCAATCTGGTGGCTATGAGCTTCTGTGATGGGGGCTTAAGCAGCAGCTCCACCAGCCCGTCGTCATCAGTGAGGACCACCATGTCACACGGGCCGCTCATTCTCTGCTAGTGCCCAACGTGACGGCATGTGGGGCCAACTCCACGACCGACGCTCACAGGAAAACGAAGCCATACTTACACAGCACTTCCCCATTTACACTGAGGTGGCCATCCTCTCTGAGAACCTCTCTCACATTCATTCTCCCACAGTAACTGGCATGAGCTGCAACACATGCAAAAGAGGCTTAGAGAACTCACAACACCGAGCTCGAGCGCTCCTCGCACCCTGATGAAGTCACCATGATCAGAGAATGTGCTAGGCTAGCCACTTCCACAGAGCTCACGCAGCGGATGGCTCCTACCACGCCGGTGACAGGGCCCGGGCCACGAGAAGAGACGGGAAAGACCCCCCAACCCCTGGCTAAATCCCGCGCGCAGTCCAAACAATACAAACATCAGCTTAAAATCGTTCTGGGCCGGGCGCAGCAGCTCACGCCTGTAATCCCAGCACGTGGGAGGCTGAGGTGGGCAGATCACAAGGTCAGGAGTTCAAGACCATCTTGGTTAATATGGTGAAACCCATCTCTACTAAAAATATAAAAAATTAGCCGGGCGTGGTGGCGGGCACCTGTAGTCCCAGCTACTCGGGAGACTGAGGCAGGAGAATCGCTTGAACCCAGGAGGCGGAGTTTGCAGTGAGCTGAGATCGCGCCATTGCATTCCAGCCTGGGCAACAAGAGTGAAACTCCGTCTCAAAAAAAAAAATTCTCAAAAAATAGGTTCTAAATACCACTCAGGTAAAGTTTTTGCTTTAAAAAGCTAATAAAAATCAAAAGTTGAGCACATTAACTTTTCATTTAAGAAATAACCTTAGAGCTGTTTCAACACTGATCAGCTCTGAGAGAACCGAACTACACACAGAACAAAGGAAAAGTTCCACAAGCTCCCAGAGATGCAAGATCCAGAGGGGGAAGCCAGGAGAGGGCCAGCACCAAGACTGCAGGAGGAGGCAGTGAGGGAGGCGCCCGGCGAGGAAAAGCACAGTGCTTTCTCCACCGCGAAAGCGACTGGTGGAAGAAGGAGGGAAAAAATATTTAAATACCTTTTGATTCATGGCTTTTTGATTTAAAGCTTTCGGATTCACAATCTTTTGATTCATAAATTTTCAATTTGTAATTTTCTGATTCATAATTGAGCTTCATTAAAACCACTTGAAAAAGTTGAACTAAAAATGATGAAAAAGATGACGCAGTGTATCTGGCCAGCCACAAAATCCTATTCACGTAGAAAGACGCACCGCCTATTAAAAAACCATGAACACGCGTTATTTCTTCCCATAAAGCCAACATCTACTTCCTGATAAGTCAAGTAGCCAAATTACTCATTTCAGGCACTTTTAGAATGGACACCAAAGATAATCACTTGGGGAACAGCCCAGCTGGTGGTGGACAGGGGACTCTGGAGAGGGGCTGCAGGGTAACCCCCGGGGGACCCCGGAGAGGGGGCTGCGGGGTAACCCCCGGGCGACCCCGGAGAGGGGGCTGCAGGGTAACCCCTGGGGAAGGCCGCCAGCTCTGCTGCCGCACTAGCAATCATCTACAGAGTCCCCGAGTCGCGGCCACTTCACTCCAATGCTGTTTACACATATACTACCACATTCAGATACTGCCAAACAGCCATTTGCTTCATGGCCTCTGACCCACCAGCTTAAGGATGGGACACCAGAGCACCGGAATCACCTCCAGAATCACCTCCTTTCCTATTTATTATTTTTATTCTTAATTTTTTTTTTAGAGACAGGGTCTTTCTCTGTCGCCTAGCAGTGGGATGATCATAGCCCATTGCAGCCTTGAACTCCGGGCCTAAGTGATCCTCCTGCCTCAGCCTCCTGAGTAGCTGGGAGTACAGGCACATGCCATCATGCCCAGCTAATTTGTTTCTGCTTTTTTAGAGATAGGATCTTGCTATGTTACAGCCCAAGCTGGTCCCAAACTCCAGGCCTCATGTGATCCTCCCACCTTTGCCTCCCAAAGATCTGGGATTACAGGCATAAGCCACAGTATCCAGCCTATTTTTTAATTTATTGATTTGAGACAGGTCTCACTCTTGCCCAGGCTGAAGTGCTGGGGTACGATCTCAGCTCACTGTAGCCTCGACCTCCTGGGCTCAAGCGATCCTCCTGCCTCAGCCTCCTAAGTAGCTGGGACTGCAGGCATGTGCCACCTCTCACTTCAGAAGATACAATGTGTGTTGGGTGGGGCATGGTGGCTCACGCCTGTAATCCCAGCACTTTGGGAGGCCAAGGCGGGTGAATCACGAGGTCAGGAGTTCAAGACCAGCCTGGCCAACATGGTGAAACCCCAACTCTACTAAAAATACAAAAATTAGCCGGGCGTGGTGGAATGCGCCTGTAGTCCCAGTTACTCGGGAGGCTGAGGCAGGGGAACTGATTGAAACCGGGAGGTGGAGGCTGCAGTGAGCTGAGATCACATCACTGTACTCCAGCCTGGGCAACAGAGCAAGACTCTGTCTCAAAAAAAAAAAAAAAAAAAAAAACCATACAAGCATCAATTAACATATAAAATGAAAAGAAAGGCTAAACTGTGCATACACCATGATGGCATTTAAGGAAAAACAAAGCCAAAACTGCACGGTTCTGCAGGTGCATAAGAGAATCCCAGGACAGTCATGCAACAGGAGGCTGACTACTCCTAACCCGTACATTTTAATGGCTAATTTCATGTTATCTGAATTTTACCGCATTTTAAAAAGCGTAAGAATTCCCATTCAACTATTATCATTAGCCGTGGTTCCCCCAGGAGGAGATGGATTGGGTGGGGGGAAAGGACTTACTTTATCTGTACTACTGAAAGACTTTAGAGAGAGAATTACAATACATACATGAAAACAAAAATAAAGAAAATGTGGAGAGAAAATTTATACTTGAGGAAAGCCATATTTATTTTAAGTAAATATGATTATGCAACCAATTCACGCAATCTGACTGTAAGTACGTAGAGAGGAAATTTCTGGAAGTGTGCTTTTTTTCTGGTGTGGCAGCTTGTAGGTGATTTTTATTTTCTTCTTTGTGCCTGATTTTCCAATGTTCTTTGATAAACATATTTTACTGTAATACAGGGTGAACACTAATGTGGGCCGCACAAGTCCTGGCCTTCATCTGAGAGGGTGAGGCAGGTGTGAAGCCCAGAACCCCTGCGGGAAGGATGGGGCTTGTTTTCTCCCCCAAAACACCCAAGACCAACATCTGTGGGGAGGCGCCATGAGACCGACGTCTGCGGGCAGGTACCATGAGTTTCGGGAAGCCACAATCCACACCACACCAACGCCTTTTCCATCTAAAGACACACTCAACTGCACGGCTAAGCTTGGGCCCTGATCCCCAAAATTCTGTCAGTCATAAACACACATTTACTACAACACGCCTAGGGAGGCCTTCGGAAAACAGCAGAGTTTGGTAGCTTCTCTCAATTATCTGTGAACCTCCTTATTCTGCCATAGTAGAGTGTATGGAATGTGCTTTTATTCTAAGAAAAATGTTATGTTCAGCCTATCAATGGCATGCTTCAAAACACAGCCTCAATAAACCCTGAATACAGGGAATCCTTGTGCGTGTCGCGTAAGCTATGCGAGGGCTCACGTGCAGCACCGCACAGGCCGTGGGGTGCCAAGTGCTCATGGAGGCAGGCAGTTAAGGGGGAACACCTGGGTCAGACACCTGGGCTCAGCTCCAGGCTCCCCCACCTGCCTGCGAGCCTCCTGAGCTGGCTGAGCCCCAGTTTGCTTGTCGGTAAAAAGGGGGCTGCCGTGACCACCACGAACAGTGCCTGGCGCAGAGTGGGTGCTCAGTGGTGCTGGTCCACATGGAGGAACCCAAGCGGGCACCGTGCACAGTGCCGTGAGGAAAACCCATGTGCCGCCCTGCTCCCGCCACCTTTCTCGGCCCCTTTCACACTTACTGTGCGGCATTAACACTAGCAGTGTCCATACCACCACAGCAGACACAACCACAAGTGAGGGCCACGAAGACAAGTTGGTAAAAACAAGATGCTAGAACTCTTAGGGCGGAAGCCTTCATCCTGTTGCCATCCTTCATTATGTCCGGTCATTTGAATAATACTGGACGAACGTCCCATGTCATGGGCATAGCTAGGCTTGGAGTGGATAAGACAGACCCGGCCCTGCACTCCTGAGGCTTCCGGCACCTCCAAGCACAGCAGAATGAGGGCTTCAAAGGACAAGGTGCCAAGGGCTTGAGAATGAGGCAGCACCCGGCCCGGCCGAGGGTCCCAGCCTCTTCCTGCCACAGGTGAGAGAGATCCCAGGCCAGGTAATAATGAAGGGCACAGACTCCCAGCCCCTCAGGGCATCGCAGTCCTGCCTGGAAGCCGGAAAGGGGCCTGTGGCTCTGTCTCTCCTGCAGACCTGGGAGGGCACCCCCGCAGGGACGCCCACACTCTTTCCCAGTCGCCACTGAGGGAAGTCCATGGACAGAGGTTGTCCATGTCAGGGGGTTCCCTGCAATGACTGCTGCTGTCACAGAACAAACCAGAGCCACGTGTCCTTCCCAGACCCAGATGTTCTCCGAAGGCCCCTCCATCACCATAAGCACGGGGCACCAACCATGGGCAATGGTTTCCTGACAGGAACACTGGCATAAACACTTCACAGAACCGACCAGAGCAACGTCCCAAAGCCATTCCTTCAGCACGCGTGAACATCCATGCTGCTTTATAAAAATCAGGGTGTGCATCTGAAAGTGACTGTAGTTTTAATAGTTTCGTTTACATAGAAACTTTCTTTTGCTCACATCAAGTCCAAATTTATAGAATTTCAAATACTTTTAGGTACACAATTACTAACCACATAAAACGTAAGCTGAAAGAGGACAGGCAGGATGACGCTGATTTGGGGTGTACTTCTTACACTTTCAAAGGATAATTTTAAGTCTCTAAGACAAATACTGCAGACACTGAGGCTTATAGAAAGGAAATACTAAATTTGGACAACACATCTTTTTTTGAGTTTTAAAGGACTGAGACTTACGTTTTTGATTCCTGTCCCTAGAATAAACTCTCGACACGGGCCCGGGGGCCGCGGGGTGCGCCGTGAGCACGTCCTTGCGCTCGGAGAGCATGCTGCAGTTGCTGCAGGAGAAGCCGTTGTGCGCGGTGGCAGCGGCGGCTCCCAAGTCCCCGTTTCCCTGAATGGCAGCTTTATTTCCACCTAAAGTTTTCAAACAGTAGATGGTAGATGGAACCTGTTTATCACAGTCTGCAGATACTTAACTAAAACTTCTATTTTGAAAAGTGTATGAAAGTAAAAGGACGAAAATAATTACCTTTAAGATCACCATCATCGTCAAGACCTAAAAAAAAAAAAAAAAAAAAAACCAAAAAAAACACACACATTTTTGCTTTTGAGCTCAACTTATCAAATAAGAACAAAACCCATTTTAAAAATGTAAAGGTTACAATGGTTAATAAATCATTATGGCACTGGTCACGGTTCATTTCCTAAAATGCCTCCAGATAGATGCAGATACCATCTTCTGACTGAAGGTGAAAACTTGTCTTTGGAGAAAATACAGAGAGACAGCAGCACACACAGCACCTGGCCTAAGGAGGGAAGCAGAACATGAGGGAAGGAGGGGAATGCCCATCTTCTCACAGCCCGCTCAGTGAGGCACAAGCCTCAGCAGCAGATGCCTCTCCATTACCTGGTAACCACTCTCACTAGTTGAGCAAAACAGAACAAACACGAATATCAAGTCTTCTCAAAATTAGCACACATGATCTCTGGAACTAATCTGGATCTTCTAATTGTCTCAAACGGGCCAACCAGAACATAAACTGAACGAAGATGAGCGGCTGGGCATCCCTTACCACGCTTCCCTCTCCTTGCACAGCCTTGGGACCCCATGCTCTCCCCAGCCAGGCTGTGGCTCACACTGCCCAGACCCCACGTCAGCCAAGTCTGAGTGCCAATGCCTCACCCTGCAGCATTCTCTAACAACTCTCTAACCCTGGCTGCTTCATTGCTTAGAGCTTTCTTGGAAACACACTGGTACGTTTTTGGACTTTGTTCAAACATTCTACAAAAGTAATGCATTTATAAAAACAGAGTTTTAAGATTACTACCTGCTGCTTAATCTCCCCATTACAACTAGTCACTATACGTTAGCATAACCCAATGACAACCTGACAAGGTGCACATGGAAGCGGCTTCCAAGGAGCGTCCTGATCAAATTCGAGGACAAGCCTGAAACCTAACTGATGCTCCTCCCAACCAGTCATGCAGCAAACCGACAACCTGGCCGCAGCCTCCCTCTCCCCAGCATAATCCGTGCAAACTGACAATGTGGCCACAGCCGCCCTCTCCCCAGCATAATCCCTGCAAACCAACAACCTGGCCATAGCCTCCCTCTCCCCAGCATAATCTGAGAGACATCCCAACCGTAGGTGGGGCGATCTGCATCTCCCAGGGACTCACCCCAGAAGTGGTCCACTGTGGTCTGTTCACGAATCCAAGACTCATCCAGTACAGGAGGCTGTCGAGTCACAGCATCCTGCAGGCTGTCAGTGCCGCTGTGGCTGACGCCAAAGGACGTGACCTGCCTTGACACGTGGTTGATACTAAAAGCTGATTTGTTTGTGCTTCTGCGCTGTTTCGCTGTTCTAAGAAGAAAAAAGACAGCAAGTTTATAGATCTTTTCTAGAAAATACAAAACGATTACATTTGACCAACACAAACTCTTCATCTGGGGATAAAAACAGCATTTTAAGGCAAGCCCTTTTCTTATGCCTTTTCCGCTGTAATGAATCAATTGTTAATATAAAAAAGGAATTTTTAAGCTGGGATCCAAGAACTCCCTCTAAAATTGTAAACACAAAATAGTTTCCAGGTTATTTTGGCCACCATGACCGCAAAGTGGTTAAAAGCTAAAATAAACTAAAAATAAAAAAGGCCGGAAAATAAAAAAACTGTGATTTATAAATGTAATCCTCCCCTTTTCTAAAAGCGATTTCTAAGTTACTGGTAAAGATGGAATTGTATTAAGTACAGCAAGAATAGGTGGTCACAGGCCGGGCGTGGTGGCTCACGCCTGTCATCCCAGCACTTTGGGAGGCCAGGGCAGGCGGATCACCTGAGGTCGGGAGTTTAAGACCAGCCTGACCAACATGGAGAAACCCTGTCTCTACTAAAAATACAAAATTAGCTGGGCGTGGTGGCGGACGCCTGTAATCCTAGCTACTCGGGAGGCTGAGGTGGGAGAATCACTTGAACCGGGGAGGCGGAGGTTGTGGTGAGCCGAGATAGCGCCATTGCACTCCAGCCTGGGGAACAAGAGCGAAACTCGGTCTCAAAAAAAAAAAAAAAAAAAAAAAAGGCAGGGTGCGGTGGCTCATGCCTGTAATCCCAGCACTTTGGGAGACCAAGGTGGGCGGATCACAAGGTCAGGAGATTGAGACCATCCTGGCTAACAAAGTAAAACCCCGTCTCTACTAAAAATTAAAAAAAAAAAAAAAAAAAATTAGCCAGGCATGGTGGTGGGTGCCTGTAGTCCCAGCTACTCGGGAGGCTGAGGCAAGAGAATGGCGTGAACCCGGGAGGCAGAGCTTGCAGTGAGCCAAGATTGCACCACTGCACACCAGCCTGGGCGAGAGAGAGACTCCATCTCAAAAAAAAAAAGAAAAAAGAAAAAAGAAAAAAGAATGAACTGGACATGGAGATCGTCCACAACACCATGTGTAATCTGTAAGATTCCTTCCTCCTTAAACATGTGGTAGGACAGCTGTGGCTCAACTCCCACCACAGGACCACAAGCTTCCAGACCTGAGGGCTGGCACTGCACGTGGAGTGCACCAGTGAAGAGAACCTGAAACATGAACGGCAGAACATCAATACTAAACAACCCACGTAGATTCCAGAGTTCCTTTCAGTCTTTATTTACAGCAACACTGTCACTTTATATGGCGGGTTTGTGTGTCTGTACACGCGTGCACACACATATCCTTATGCTCAAGAGACAGGGTGTGGCTTTACAGACCAAAAAGTATGGAAGCTCAGTTTTAACTGGTGTTAGAGATCAGACAGACAACAAGAGGGCGATGCTCACCTGGCCGCTCGGTTCTTGAGGGAGACAGCACTGCTGGCACCGCCGTCGGCACCCACAGCCTCACCATCCCCCAGGGTACATGCTGTCGTGGCCAGGCGCAAACTACGGCGGGACATCCGTGGAGAATCAAATACGGGGTCCAATTTGTGCTCGGTCTCAAAATCCAGGGCATCTGAAGAATAACTGGAACTAGAAGGAAAAAAACTAATCAGAGATAAAGCAGTGCTTATAGCCCCCATTCTGAAACAAAATGAACAAATCATAAACTGAGAGTGCAATGTATTGTGGATTTTCAAGAGCAACTATTACTGGGTGACAACCTCACTCTAATGCAAACGTATGGTGGCAGAGGTCAGCCAGCATCGGCTCCTGACATCTGCCCCAGCCACTCTCCCTTCACATCAGACGTAGGTCAGCACATTCCCAGATGCTGGGACCTAGTGTCTACAACTCACCCTAAGAACTGCTTGAGGGCATATGCTAGAGCCCTGAGCCCCCACCTACGTCCTCGCTATAAACACATCAGTGTGTGTTTCCCAGTCAACACTACGCGGACATAAGATTTAATCCAATACACCAGTGCATATAAAATGAATCCACGCAGGACAGGAGGCCAAGTGACCGAGTCGTCAATGCTCCCCTTCTAAATTTAGAATTTATCTAAAGGCTTGAGACAAATTTAAAACTGCTTTGAGCCTGTGACCAAAAGAAAGACACTTCCAATACCTTCCATATAATTATTCAATTAATGTAATTAAATAAAAAGATGAGCCAGGCACGGGGTTCACGCCTGCAATCCCAGCACTTTGGGAGGCCTAGGCAGGAGGATTGTGTGAGCCTGGGAGTTTGAGGCTGCAGTGAGCTATGACTGTGCCACTGCACTCCAGCCTGGGTAGCAGAGCAAGACCTTGTCATACGTTCATGACCAACAGTAAGTTAATACGAACTGCTTCGAGTTGCCACACACAATTTAAGAAGAGGTTCTTTAATTCAGAGGCTGAGGTGGGGACGAGAGAGAGACTGCACTAAGCTATGCTGAACAGTGATGATGGGTATTAAGCTAGACAGAATTTCAGTATCATCTCAAGCAGGGTTTGTTTCTAGCAGAATATTTTACACAATTGTGATGCTAGTTTAAAAAAACAATCTGATTTCAAATCAGAACTTGTCAATTAGATATGGACCAAGACAATTACGACTTTCAATTCATCCGTTAACCTCTTTGACTTCTACCCTCCCACCACCACACTCAGCCTCTTGATCTAATTACTGGGTTTGAAGTCGAGATGAGATCCCTGCTTTCCAACACAAACTGGGAACACTTGCTGGTTTGGGTAGAAAGGGCGCTGGTGAGGGCCGGGTGCGGTGGCTCACGCCTGTAATCCCCCAGCACTTTGGGAGGCCGAGACGGGCGGATCACGAGGTCAGGAGATCGAGACCATCCTGGCTAACACAGTGAAACCCTGTCTCTACTAAAAATACAAAAAAATTAGCCGGACGTGGTGGCGGGCGCCTGTAGTCCCAGCTACTTGGGAGGCTGAGGCAGGAGAACGGCATGAACCCGAGGCGGAGCTTGCAGTGAGCCGAGATTGCACCACTGAGCTCTAGCCTGGGCGACAGAGCAAGACTCCGCCTCAAAAAAAAAAAAAAAAAAAAAAAGAAAGGGTGCTGGTGAGGAAGCCATGTGGAAGGACCCTCACGGCAGTGCTGTCACAGCAGCAAGACATGGGGACGCCACCCACGGAGGAACGGGCACGGGGACGCCGCCCGCAGGGGAACGGGCACGGGGACGCCACCCACAGGGGAACGGGCACGGGGACGCCACCCGCAGGGGAACGGGCACGGGGACGCCACCCGCAGGGGAACGGGCACGGGGACGCCGCCCGCAGGGGAACGGGCACGGGGATGCCACCCACAGGGGAACGGGCAGGCAAACCAGGGCACATTCCAACTACACAATGCTGCAGGGCCATGAGAACACAGGGAGACCTGCACACGGTCACAGAAAGACTTCCAGGTACACTGGTCGACAAAAAAACCCTAGCACCATCCTATCTATGTTAGAATAAACGACAAAATACCACCATGTACCCATCCACACACAGACGTGTAAAAGCATGAGAGGATCTTCATGCTGGCTACCACAGCCAGTCAAAGCATCTTCACCCTGAGCTGTACCGCACCAGACTCCTCATCAAGGTAAGGAAGCCATGCTTAAAAGTCAGGGAGGGAAGAGACGAGGGGAAAGGAAGGAGGGCGGGAGGGACCGGGAATTCCACGGCTTTGAGTTCAAAGACTAAAATTTCAAGTGCCAACAGAAAGCAGGCACCCAAGTGAGGAAAGCTCCTGAGTCTCAGCCATTCAACCACAGCATCAGATAAGCTCAGGGTCCCTTCCAGCCTCCCTCATCCACGGCATCAGGTGAGCTCAGTGTCCCTTCCAGTCCCAGCACCCACGATTCCATCAGCATCACAGCTCAGGTGCAGTTCAGGAATGTCACAAGCCACCTCTGCTCGCCAGCCTAGGCTGTCAACCCAGCCACCATCCGTATCATGGTTCCTACAGACAGGTGTGCCCAGGGCCCTGCAGGAGGACACCAGCGTCCAGGGGAGACAGGAGGACACGGATGCTGGCCCAGCACCATCCCAGGACACAACGCAGCCCAGCAGGCTACAGTATTACAGCATTTTATTACCTTTTCTACAATGTTTGGGGGAACACAGAATTTCAAATGGAGGTGTCCAGTCTAGGATTAGAGAGAATTAAGTGACAGAACAAGGAGACAGGACTGACGAAAACCCTGAAGATAACTTGGAGATCTCACCTGTAAGAACATCAAGTTTTAATGTCTTTCTCTCATTAGTTATGCACTGTTCTTTCAAAAATGTGTTATTCAGATGTACTTTGTACTTTGTTGGGCAGGTGCTGGACCCACAGCACCTGCCCAACAAAGGCACACAAGGTTAACTCAGCTCAGGTGTGCCAGACCGAAAGGTGCACAGTCCACGTGTCTGAGACTTCTGAGCTTCAGACCGCTGCTCACGGAGCGTGATGGCTGTGCCCTGACACCAACTCAAATCGCGGACTGCTGCCCGCCCTCACTCTTCCGGCCGCGGACCCCTGCGCGCCCCAGCACTTCCGGCCGCGGACCCCTGCCCGCCCCCGCTCTTCCGGCCGCAGACCCCTGCCCGCCCCCGCTCTTCAGAGCCTCTGTGACCGGGGCCTCAGCTCACAAGGGTTCCTCAGTCTGCTGTCCTGCCGCCCCAGTGGCCTGGCACTCTCCCTGCCGGGACTGGGTGGGCCCGAATGCTTTCTCTCAAGTTCCCCCATGTTGCAGGTGCGAGTGCGTCATGATCTGCGGTCCCCAGGTCCTCAGGCCATCCATGTGTTGGGGGCCATGTGTGCCCAGCCCTCAGTGGCCTTCTCAGACCCCCTCCATAGCCCCATGTCTGACGTCACCATCTCTTCCCTCCACCTCTCGGTCTCTGTCGGGAAGGCCCTACATTTTTCTTCCCAGAAAAGCCAGATGCCATCAGAAAACTGCCTCCTCCTCGACCCCGCCCATCCTTTCCCTCTGCAGGGGTTAACTGTATGTGTCAACTTGACTGGGCCTTGGGCGCTCAGATATTTGCTCCAACATTATTCTGAGTGTATCTGTGAGGGTGTTTCTGGAGGACAGTAACATTCCAATCAAAATCAAAACACTGGGAAAGCAGACTGTCCTCCAATCAGCTGAAGGCCTGGACAGAATAGGAAGGCTTTAGTAAGAAGGAGCTCCTCCTGCCGGACAGCCTGGAGCTGGAACACCAGCTGCTTCCTGCCTTCAGACTCAAAACGGAACATCAGCTCTTCCAGGGTCTTGAGCCTGCCCACCTTCAAACTGAAACTATACTGTGGTTCTCCTGGGTCTCGGGCCTCTGGACTTGGCCTGGAACTTACACCATCGGCTGCTCTGAGTCTCCATTTGCCAACTCAACCTGAAGATCTTGGGCCTTGCCAGCCTCCATGAGCCAATTCCACATAATCAATCTCTTCCTATGAATATACTCATACGTTCACTCATGTTCTACCCTGACGCACCCTTCCTGCCTGCTGCGATGGAAGAGGAATCCCGAGCCAAGCCTGCATGCTCTGGATGGAGTTTCTCCTGCCCTCCTCTCTCTGTAGGAGACCCTTCCTCGTTCTCCTACATCTTCAGCTTCTCTCTACTGGCTCCTGACCACCAGCATCTAGACACACGCTTGGCTCACCCCATGGTAAAAAACAAACAATTTCCACTCAGAGCCAGGCCTCTCCACCTCCCCCAGCAGCCGACTGGTTGTAGCCCCGGCCAGTCTCCGCTCGTTCCTTGCCTGGTGGAGGCTCTGAAGCAGCTTCCGCCAGGCCCCCCGACCTCCATGGATGAGTCACCCCATCTTCCTGACCTACAGCAGCATCTGCCCCTGCTGGCAAGTCCCCCCTTCTGGAAACTCTCTTCTTCTGGCTTCCACAACCAATACCCCCGTGAGCGGCTGGATGGTGGGACCCTCACGTCTCCAGCGCCCCTGGATCTGAGCGTGGGCAGCAGCACGTCAGGTCCGAGGGCTCTGGGAAGCATCCTCTGCTGACCCTGAAGCTCAAGGCCACCATCGCCAATGGCTGGATTTTACTGCGGCTGGGTTCAGCTGCCATCATCAATCACCCTCAGCGCTATCAGAGGAGACACACCAGACAGCACAGACTCAAGATGGTGACAGGGAGCTACATCCCGTAACACCATCTGTCACAGAGTCATCACGCCAATAAAGAAATAAACCAAAAAATGACCGCACTTCCAGACTTAACTACCAGTTGACAAGAATTACAGATTGAGACTTAAGAGGGAAATCACCCAATGTAACATGAGGATCCTGTTTAGGCTAATTTTAAAAAAGTTAATTGTGAAAGAGAAAATTCAAGGATCTGGGATATTGGAACACTGACTAAATACATTAAGAACCCCTTTAAATGACTGGGATGACAGTGGTATTTGGGTTATTTTAAATATATCTTTTTTTTTTTTTTTTTTTTTTGAGATGGAGTCTCGCTCTGTCGCCCAGGCTGGAGAGCAGTAGCACGATCTTGGCTCACTGCAAGCTCCACCTCCCAGGTTCACGCCATTCTCCTGCCTCAGCCTCACTAGTAGCTGGGACTGAAGGCGCCGCCACCACGCCCGGCTAATTTTTCGTATTTTTAGTAGAGAGGGGGTTTAACCATGTTAGCCAGGATGGTCTCATCTCCTGACCTCATGATCCGCCCGCCTCAGCCTCCCAAAGTGCTGGGATTACAGGCGTCAGCCACCATGCCCGGCCAAATATACCATTATCTTTCAGAGACTGGCGTTAAATAATCCAGTGAAGTTCCAGGGGAACGTGGGAGGAAGTGTTCGGGCCCACCCTGTCCCAGCAGGGAGAGTGCCAGGCCACTGGTGCAGCAGGACGGCCGGCTGGAAACCCGTGAGCTGAAGCACTGGTCACAGAGGCTCCAAAGTGCTGGGTGGGGGCGGAAAACCCGTATGCATCACTGTCGAAGCCAGTCGCCGGCAAATAGGCTTGTCACTGTTCTCTCAACGTGCATATTGTCATTTTCCAAAAGAGAAAAAAAAATTATTTTGTTTACTTTTTTGAGACGGAGTCCCACACCATCTCCCAGGCTGAAGTGCAGTGGTGCAATCTCGGCTCCCTGCAACCCCCACCTCCCAGGTTCAAGCGATTATCCTGCCTCAGCCTCCCGAGTAGCTGGGATTATAGGCATGCGCCACCACACCCAGCTAATTTTTGTATTTTTAGTAGACACGGAGTTTCACCACATTGGTCAGGCTGGTCTCAAACTCTTGACCTCAAGTGATCCACCCACCTCGACCTCCCAAAGTGCTGGGATTACAGGCGTGAGCCACTGTGCCTGGCCCCCAAAAGAGAAAAAAATTTTAATTAAAGAAAGTGAGTAGCCAGGATGCTGGAAGATCTTTTCAGTGTTTACTGAAATTGCTAAGAATCAAGATGAGGGTAGTGACGGAGACAGAAAGCCATCAGGAACAGCCGCTCCACCTTCCGACTATGCAGGGAGGGCTGAAAGACAAGGAGAACTTTCAGAGAAGAGGCCAGGGCTACGAGGAGCCTAAGGAAAGGAAAAAGAGAAGAGCGTAAGGACCCAGTGTAAGGCTGGTCAGCTGAGGTGGCAAGAGTTGCGGAGGCCAGCCCAGGACCAGGTGGACCCAGGCACTGATGTCCAGACCAGCCCTGAGGCCCCCGCCTCCAGTTTCTGGCTGTGTGCCACAGGCCTCGACTCATGCAAGGCGGCTGGTCCTTCCCTCTGGTCCTGATCCAGAGCTGGGCCTCCCCAAAGCACTCTGGCCATCTCCTGGACAACCCCCGACCTCTATCCTACAGCAACCTCAGAGAGCATCCCCCCCTTTAAAACCTTTCAGGGGTTCCCAGTGCCCGGGAGTCCAAATTCCCAGCCCAGCCTACACCACTCTGGCCAGCCCCTGCCCACCAAGAGTCCAAATTCCCAGCCCAGCCTACACCATCCGGCCAGCCCCTGCCCACCAAGAATCTAAATTCCCAGCCCAGCCTACACCACTCCTGCCAGCCCCTGCCCACCTTCCCCCTGCATTTCCCAGTCCAGCTGCCACAGAGGTCTGCCCACAGGTCTCACTGAAGAAAGGCTGTGAATTTCAATGAAGTTAAGTGTTGCTCTCCCAAGGTAGAGAAACACACACAGACATTTTTAAAACTCTATTTAAAATAGGTCAGAAAAGCAACAATAAATGACCATAAATCACTGTTTCATGCTGCACGGTCTGAAGGAAGGAGCAGTCTCCCTGAGCTGGCCTACCCGTTCTGTTCTAACCAACACAGGACTTTTACAAAACAGAGTGTGTTGCTATGGAAGTGTGATGTGACCTAGAATTGTGAATTAAAAACTCAATCATCAAATGTGAGATCTGACTAATGCTGGTAAGAAGTATTTTTCTTAAAATATTTTCTAATTTTCTTACAGTTTCAATTACATTTTCACTCTTTAGAAGATAAGCCACTGAGACCGGGCGTGGTGGTTCATGCCTGTAATCCCAGCACTTTGGGAGGCTGAGGCGGGCAGATCACCTGAGGTCAGGAGTTTGAGATCAGCCTGGCCAACATGGTGAAACCCCATTTCTACTAACAACAGAAAAATTAGCCGGGCATGGTGGCTGCATGTCTGTAATCCCAGCTACTCCAGAGGCTGAGGCAGGAGAACTGCTTGAATCCAGGAGGTGGATGTTGCAGTGAGCCAAGACTGCACCACTGCCCTCCAGCCTGGGTGACAGGGTGAGACTCTGTCTCCAAAAAAAAAAAAGACAAGCCTCTGAAAAAATTACACAAGCATTTTCCTGGTGCCTTAAACATCTGCTTGGGTACACAAGTTTTTCGACCTGCTGATCAAATCCTGGCCTGTTTCGTTGTATATTTTCCCTTGGCGCTAACCCGTAATTTCATCAAACGCAAGCTTCATTTCAGTCACCCTTTCTACCTGGTAAACTGAAAACACAAGGGGCAGGGCCAGCACCTCTTCAGACTCAAACGTCTCTCGGTTTGAGTGGATCAGAATATGAATAAAAGCAGAAAACTCAGCCTCAGACAAAAGTTGTGTTCTTGAAACCTTGAGCTTCAACACTGTTCTATGATGCTTCCTTTCAAATGGGAAATAATTTTCCAGGTTACTTCTGTTAACTCAAAAATACCAAGCCACTGATACACATCACAAACCCCAGCCATCACCACAGAGACTTCTCCGGATCACCACCGCCTGGGTGTGGTTGAAGCCAGCACGCCATGTGTGATGACTAACCACCCAGTCACCAGGATAAACAGATTCGGAAACGCAGCTTTCAAAACCACCCTAAAGCCGTAAGATACAGTTTACCATTTTTTTTCACCTTCAAAATATAGCATGCAGTCAGCAGTACTATCGAGTTCCTGCTAAGGTCCACACCACCGCGGCAGCGATTGGGCATCACAAGGCCAGGCCCCCACGTGCAGGTGCACACTCACCTGAGCGCATACGTGTAGCCCGTGTTCTCCGGCACACACTGGGGAGGACTGTACATGTGAAGCCGAGAAAAATCCATGTTCACCACTTCAAACCATACTGCAGAGGGCAGGAAAGAAATGCAGAGTGTTTAACGAGCGGGAAATCCAGGGCAGTCCTGTCTTAGTCAACCTGAGCCGCCTACATGCAACTCAACTCAGGTCACCATCAAAACTCCCAGGCAACACAGCCAGCGGCAGTGTTTTCTAAACAGAGGAGACAAGTGTTTCCATAGTCACAAGCCCAGGAACACTGCTGGCTTATCTAGTCCCCTAATATAGCCTGAGAAAAAGACCTGGGGAGCCCTGAAGTGACTGACTCATGAAAACGGGGGCACCTTCCAAGAAACACAGAAACTCAGAGCGCTCTTCAAGATGTTTCTAAATCCTCTGTGTCAAAATGTTCTCAGTCTTTTGAAATCAGCTTTTATTTTATTAACTAAAAGAGAACTACCTGCTACTCCGTGGTCAAGCAGCAGCATACACGTTCCTAGATGGCTGAAGCTCTCACAAGCATCTCGGAATCAGAAAAGAAACTGCAGGGTGAGTAATAAAAAAGTTTAAGGCACTATTTACCTTTTTTTCCTCACCAAAAAACAGGTTATTTTTTAGGTTAGAAAGTGGTGAGTGTATTGTTTCTCAGGCTGTCCTCTAGATTTCTTTGGAATGACTCACACCTTCCTCTGGCTAAAAATATTCACATGCACACGCCCTGCCTTTTTAAGAAGTCTTCATAGTAGCAACGTGAGTCCTAGTTGGCTGTTGAAATATCTGAGGAAGATATAACTAAAAGAACATCCTGGACAAAACATACTTTTGTACAAATGACTGAGCTCCATATACCAAGCCAAAAGTACTTTAATTCATACTACTTTCTTTGAAATAAAGTACCACAGAAATAAAGACCACTGTTTACATGTAAAAATTGTACTACACCTATAAGTATGGACAAGCATGACGAAACTTCTGCATTTCAAAACACGTTTCAAAATTCTTCAGTTCTTTCCAGGGACACCCAGCCCAGTACCCGACCCAGAACACAGGCTCGGCAAGTACAATTCACACTTGTTTGGCATTCTATGAACTTACGCTTCAACAGCTTTTTGCAAATACAACTGTGATCACTTAATCCACGTAATAGTTAATATCTGTTTAACTCTCTCTCCCCCACTTGTCTACCTACTTTAACCAACACCTAAATCTAGATTCAGTCCACGTGCAGAGGAGCCCGGCACAGGAGCAGGGCCTTGGTCTGGATCCAATGTAGGCTACGCTCCCCCTACACACCATGCCTGGGCTCCTGAGGTGCACAGGTCTGGTCCGGCAGCCTCTGCAGCACCCAGCCCCACCCAACAGCAATGCAACAATGGGCTCTGCCTGCACTGCCAAGCAACAACCCAAGGCTGGGCTCGGCGAATGCCCACTCCCGCTCCCACCCTGGCGGACACGGGGCTAACTCAGTGTTTCTACGGACGCCCGCTCCTGCTCCTGCCCTGGGTGGGGGGACACTCCTGCCCTGGGTGGGGGGACACGGGGCTAACTGAGTAATGCTATGGATGCCCACTCCTGCTCAGATGTTGGGCTAATTTAGCAGTAAGTCCGTTAGCACAGCCAGGCCAGAGAAAAGGAAAGCAAGGAAGACTGGCATGGTAGGGAAAAGAGGTCACACTCCAGGTTCAGCAGGTGCTGAGGGAAGTGCAGATGTGGAGAGTCTGTGATTACAGACCCTTAATCTATCTTCATCACTCTGATTTCACTTTTATAATCACGTGAATTTTAAGTTTACGCTCCCCGGTGAAATGCATCTGTGTATAAAACGCGCGGAATCTATCACTTTCTCTATTTCCTAACACGTTGAAATGAGGAAACAGGGCACCTTACCCCCCCGATGCAGTCCTGGCCTAACGACACCTGTCCAGGATCAAGGGAAGTGTCCTGGCCGTTACCTCTCAGCTGAGAAAATAACCCCACCCTGACAAGCGCCGAAGGCCAGGCTCATGCCAAGCAGAACCTCGCGAGGCAGCGGCAGCAGAGGCTGTGACAATGTGCCCCGGCGTCCCCAAGGCAGGTGCTCCGCGCTCTCCCACATGCGCCACAGGCCTGCTGCCAGGTGAGAGGCTCCCAGAGTTCTCCAACTCCCCTCCCCGCCCTGCAGTCTCATTCACTCCCTCCTTCCTCCTTCCCCCTTAACAGACCACAACATGGATCAGGAAGATTTTAAACTTCATCCTTAGTCCTTTACGACACCAAGTATTAAATTATAGGATAAACTAAAATGAAGTCAAAAAAGGATTAAATGAAACTGCGCACCTCTGGCAATGCCTGACAGGTGACAAGCACTCAGGCATCAGCTGCGGTTATTTTGAGGAGTAAAGCGATAGGACCGATGTTTTAAACTTTAAAAAAGAACAGCTATTTTTCTTCTGGGTGTGCAATTCCTGAAACGAAAGATTTGTTCACCCTGCCCTAAATGAAAGGCAGAGGTTCACCGATGAGCCCCACAGCTGGGACTCAGCCAGCAGGCGGGAGCCCCCAGCCCTTGCAGAGCTGGCCGGCACACCTGCAGGCAAAAGCATGGTTCTGAGACCAGCTCTACTGACCGCCAAAGAGTACTCCGCGTTTTCACAATACTGTTCCCAGTCTCCATTACATCCCTGCTAATTAAAACCGAAATGTAACATGAGAGCCTTCCTATGTAAAGAGGAGGCTGCCTTGGTCGCCTGTCTGAGAGACTCAAGGGAGATGTGTTTTGTGTTTATAATCTGATCTGTAACCACACAGTAAGTGAAAAATGGACCCAGGATGTTTTCAATGGCATCAGAAGAACCTGGAAAGAATCTGAAGTTGACATTCTGCATAGAGGTGCTGTCTTCAGGCGTAACACTCCTGCCAGCATCTGTGTCTCCCTGGCTGCCCTGCCCTGAGTGTCACGCCTGGCATGGCCTTGTGAGAGTTGTGTTCTGCACAAGTGTGTGTCCCCTGGCCTGGTGGAAAGAGACAGACTAACTGGTACCCAGCTTTGTGCAGGATGCTGAGATAGGAGCTGGGTGTCAGAAAGCCCTGGGTGTGGGTTCTCAGGCTGGCCGGCTCAGCACAGTGTGCACAGAGGGGAGTGTGGGAAGATCCCTGCTGGTCCTCCTATGAGATGGCTTCTGCAAGATGGATGGGTGGAGACCCATCGACACCAGAAAGGCCCACACCTTAGGAGATGGCGGCCAGGAGTGCCTGTCACCCAGACGAAGTCTCTCCCTTTTATCTTGTGCTTGCTGGTGGCCAAGAGAGCTTACAAGTTCACAAACAGAGGAAAAGTAGAGAGAATCTGTTTAGATTGCAAACTTTGGTTTCAAACCTATGGCTTTGGTTTCTTTACAAATATATACATCCAGCCGGGCACAGTGGCTCACGCCTGTAATCCCAGCACTTTGGGAGGCAGAGGCAGGCAGATCACCTGAAGTCAGGAGTTCAAGGCTAGCGGGGTCAACATGGTGAAACCCCTCCTCTACTAAAAATGCAAAAATCAGCCGGGTGTGGTGGTACATGCTTGTAATCCCAGCTACTCGGGAGGCTGAGGCATGAGAATCACTTGAACCCAGGAGGCGCAGGTTGCAGTGAGCCAAGATTTCAGTGCATTCCAGCCTGGGCGACAAAGTGAGACTCCAACTCAAAAAAAAAAAAAAAAAAAAAAAAAAAAACTAGGTGAGATTCTTAAGTTATACTAGGTTTCTCTTTTAATACCATTTACCTTTTACAGTATATAAATTATACTATATGGTAGACATGAAAATATACAGCTCAGTTTTTCTTTCTTGAATGCTTCGGTAAAAAATGGATTTTAGATTTTAGTCCTACTCTCCCTACTATCATTTGAGTCTACTATTCAGAAAGTCTGCACTAATCTAGTAATAATTCAGAGAACGTGGTTGAAAAATCTTCATGTAAAGCTGAAAACGGAACAAAACTAAATGGGTCTGGCCAGGCATAGTGGCTCACGCCTATAATTCCAGCACTCTGGGAGGCCAAGGCGGGCAGGCTGATCACTTGAGGTTAGGAATTGGAGACCAGCCTGGCCAATATGGCCCGTCTCTAGCAAAACTACAAAAATTAGCCAGGCGTGGTGGCACGTATCCATAGTCCCAGCTACTTGGAAGGCTGAGGCATGAGAATCGCTTGAACCTGGGAGGCGGAAGTTGCTTGTGAGAGTTGCCACACGAGTGTGTGTCCCCTGGCCTGGTGGAAGGAGACAGACTAACTGGTACCCAGCTTTGTGCAGGACGCTGAGATAGGAGCTGGGCATCAGAAAGCCCTGGGGGTGGGTTCTCAGGCTGGCCGGCTCAGCACAGGTGTGCACAGAGGGGACTGCGCTGAGATCCGCCACTGCACTCAAGCCTGGGTGACAGACTAAGACTCCATCTCAAAAACAAAAACAAAAAACAAACCCTGAGAGTTCTGAAATAAAATCAACACACCATCTTTTCTTAAGAAATGCTATCAGCTCTAAAGAAAACTGGGAAGGGCAAACTTTAATGCCTGCGGGCAGCACTTCCCTTCAGCCTAGGAACAGCAACTGTCAACACTGAGTTGATATTTTCTAGAAGACATAAACAACGGGATCTGCTGCAGAGACACGGTTAACAGACATTAGCACAATGCTGTAGGCTGCATTTCCTGTGCCCCAGCGTTGCTCACTGACGACATGGACTGACACTGAGAGGGAGCCTAGTGAGACGCAGCGTTCCCATCAGAAACATTGCAGGTGGGGAACCTGCCCACATGGATCCTGCAAGCCCCGGTTTAAAACGGCAGCCTACCTCCTGAAACAAGTCACACATATGACTCAAACTTGCAAAACTCTGTCAGTCTGTCACTGATCCTCGGGGGGACACACAGGCCCCTCCTCCCAGAGTGCCATTTGCCACAAGCCCCACGTCCACAGGGACACCCGGAGCTGCAGCCCCCAGCCTCAGCAGGGCCTGCTAGCTGTGGACACCTGCTCCACCAGGCTGGGCGGCGATGTTTCTTTCACCAGATCCTTCCCTCAGGGACCTTCCCGAGAGACACTGA